TTCCAACCCCCAGGTGGATCTGGTTCTTGAGCTATGTGGTGAAGTAACAGGTTCCAGAACCACCTTTTGTGGGAATAAGCAACTTGGTCCTCAGCTCTTTCTCTTGAGCTCCCAGGCTAGCTCCAGAGCCTTTGGTGGCTGGAAAAAGGAAGGCTGTACAATGATTTTAGCACATGCAGTATACCTGTGTGTGTGTATCTACACTATTAATCCATACTAATAAAAGGGCAATATGCAAATTGGTCACAGTGCCCTCACAGTAACAACCGAACAGCAGGCTGCGTGGGGCGACTAGGCTGGCAAGGGGGTTAGTGAGGGACAACCAAACGACTGACCAGCAGGCTGCGTGCGTGGGGCGACCAGGCCAATAGGGGAGTTAGTTACCCCATTTGTTATGCTGTTATCTTTTCCTGAGGAATTTCAGACAGAGACTTTAAGCTCTAAGGAATTCGGCCTAGTTGGACCTGCATGGTCTGGTTTCAAAGCCAGCTTAATCGCTGTGCTGCAATAATTACACTCCCCCTCCCCCTTCCCCTCCCTTTGTGGGAGGAACGGAAAACATCCAATACACAATACTGGGGCCTGGGAGGTAGCACCTTAGACAGACACTGTTACTGGGAGTGCAAATAAGTTCTCTACCAGTCATCTCTGGTTTCTGAAAAGTGCACGCACGTGTGTTTTATTTACTATGTACATGACTTTTTACAATCAGGAAAATAATAAAGCTGTTTTAATTTGGGGTGGGGAGTGAAGCTATTTTCTTAACCACAGCGAGGTAGGCTTTTGTGTGCTTTGCCCTGGAGGTCAGTAGTAACCTTGCAAGTGTGATAAGGTATGCTGATTTGAAGAGAACTGAGAGTAAATTTGACCCCAAGAACAGGAGAAGAACAGTATACGTACTATGGTTCTAAGTGGTCTTGTGTTTATGTGCAAACGTGTCAAATGCATAATTTTTGAAGGGTACTTTAAGGGTACTTCCGATCTGTTAGCACTTGTATTCTTTGGCAAATGAGGGACATTTTTTAACTTTTCCTTTTTCAACTTCATTATATTGCTTTTGTCCTTGTGAAAGTATATTTATTATGTTTATGTACAGTGAAAACCACAGTATTCAGAATGAGAACTGCAGGGATATATAGCCCTTAATACAGATTCTGCCTTTTAATCATTTTTTTTAAATCCTCACCTGATATGTTTTTATTGAATTTTAGAGAGAGAGAAACATCGATTGGTTGCCTCCCTTACAGCCCACAATGGGGTGACGGAACCCATAACCTAGGCATGTGCCCTGGCTGGAAACTGACCCATAACCTTTCGGTGTACACGACGATGCTCCAATAACTGAGCCACATGGGCTTGAATAGATTCTTGAATAAATTACTAAACATGCTACTTGTGAACGCTCAAAGAAATAGACCAACTTTATTTTCTTTGGGAGTTTTAAGAGTACCATACCCAAAACATGGCAGTTAATGGACCCATGTCCCCTTGGAGAATTTCTCATCTCTAGCAGTTCTCTTGGATCCCAGGCCACAGTATTTTAACAGTTTATTAATGAAGCAGGGAAACTATAGAAAGCAAGCTTATCAAGCTTCCTGATGACTTAGCAGGAAAGGATAAGGACAAATTAGTGGCTTCAGAAAACTCTTATTAGTAGGTAGAAGCAGTGGGCTGAATCTATTGATGAAAATGTAGAGATATTTAAGATTTTGTATTTGATTCAAAAATAACAGAATAAGCACAAGCCAGGATTTAAAGTGATTGAAATCATTTATAACAGGGATAAATACATCTATATTAATAATGTAATACAGTAATGCTCTCAGGGTCTATTAGAATACATTCTGTTTCTTACTTAAGCTGTAGAAGAATAATTGATCCTCCAAAATAAAGAAACAAAATGAAACAGACTCAAACACAGAGCAAACTGGTGGTTGCCAGAGCGGAGGAAGCTTGGGTGCTGGTTAAAAAGGTGAAGGGCTTATGAAGAAGTACTAATTGCAGTTACAGGTAGTCACGGGGGTAAAGTAGAGCATAGGGAATAGCGTCACTAATACTGTACTAACTGGATGTGGTGCCAGGTGAGGACTTGGTAAAGTATGTGATTGTCTGACTACCGTGTTCCCCCGAAAATAAGACATCCTCTGAAAATAAGACCTAGCGCATGGGAAGATAAGACATCCCCTGAAAATAAGACAGAGCGCAACTTTGGGAGAAAAAATTAATATAAGACACTGTCTTATTTTCGAGGAAACAGGGTACTATGCTGTACACCTGAAACTAATACAAAATAATCTTATATGTAAACTGTAATTGAGAAGTAAAATGTAAAGTTGGAAGGAAGGAAGGAAGGAAGGAAGGAAGGAAGGAAGGAAGGAAGGAAGGAAGGAAGGAAGGAAAGGAAAGGAAAGGAAAGGAAAGGAAAGGAAAGGAAAGGAAAGGAAAGGAAAGGAAAGGAAGGAAGGAAGGAAGGAAGGAAGGAAGGAAGGAAAGGAAGGAAGGAAGGAAGGAAGGGAAGGAAGGAAGGAAGGAAGGAAGGAAGGAAGGAAGGAAGGAAGGAAGGAAGGGAAGGAAGGAAAGAAGGAAGGAAGGAAGGAAGGAAGGAAAGGAAGGAAGGAAGGAGAAAAGGAGAAAAGGAGAAAAGAAGAAAAGTTGCTCCTCAAGGCTGAACGTTCAGTTTGTTTTCTTTGGCCTGTTATGCTCATTTGGGGATGTGCCTTTGGAATATTTTTGTTCTCCAAAATTATTCTCATTTCTAATTTTTAAGAAACATCTCTAGATTAAAATAAAAGTATTGATCAGTGTTTTAAATAAACCTACACTTTTATATACATTTTTGCCTCGGATAAATGTTTAGTAACATTTAAATGTGTAAGAGTTTCCAGTTTTTGTTTTTATTTTTGACATCCTGTTTACCAAGTTATAAATTTGGTAAACAAGAGGCTTTGGTATTCTGTATTTGGGGATTAGTTGGAGTTAGTGGGATTAAAAAAGAATGGTTACCTGGGATTCTTAAAGAATAATAAGAAAACATCTGGCTCTTGTCAGCACACCAGACCCTCCCCAGGAAGCTTGCTGTGCTGAGGGGTGTGTCCTGGCTCAGGGGCCTCGCCCCGCCCCGCCGTACCCATTGATCTCATAGGATTGAGATTGGTATGACATGTTTTTGAAAAATATTCCACATGACAAGCAGAATTCTTCCCCTTTTGCAGCTGTAGGAGAAAAATACCTCGGCACAGTTTGTTGTGCTTGAAATGACCTACGGAAAATTAATGCTCCCAGAATTCTCTGCCTGCAGTCTGTTCTTCCCACCCCCTTCCCAGCCTCTCTGTGAAGACGGGAGTAAGGAGTCAGGTGCCATTTCTTCACTGACACACTATGCACTACCATTGGTTTCTGTCCAGCATTTTATTATGAAAACTCTCATAAAAGTTGAAACAATTTTTCATTGAACACCATAAACCCACCATCTAGATTCTATAAATAGCATTTACTATTAATATACATGCTTTATCACATATTCACCCATCAGTCCATCTTATTATTTTTGATGTATATGGAAATGAGTTTGTATTTAGGTTTTTCCCTTGTCTTTTATTCCTAGCTGAGAATTCTTAATCCTTATGGTAAGAATCTCGGGCATCAGTAAGCCAGTGTGAGAAAGCGCCCGGCGAGCAAGAGAGCGTGCACAGGCCTCTGTATGGCAGGTGTGCGGTAGATATTTGTGAAGTGAATGCAATGCCATCCGTCCTATTTGACTAGCCCTGGAGGTAAACTTCAGTTTGCCTCTTAGACAATTACTTTAAAAATAAACCATATAATCTATAGATTCAGGTGAGCCTCCATTTATAAGATGTACTTCTTTCTATGAGACAGTCCATGGAAGGCATTTATATAGCATTTGAAATGACTAAAAAAGGGGTTTTTGTTGGTTTGGTGGTTGTTGTTGTTGTTAGTCCTTACCCGAGGGTATGTTTCCATTGATTTTTAGAGAAGGTGGAGGGAGGGGGAGAGACACACCCATCAGCTGCCTCCCGCACAGCCTGACCAGGACAGGGACGGAGCCTGTAGTCGAGGCATGTGCGCTTGACCAGAATCAAACCCAAGACTTCGTCCATGGGCTGGTGCTCTGTCTACTGAGAAAAACCAATTAGGGCAAGATAGATATATATATATATATATATATATATATATATATATATATATATATATCTCAACATTTTTTCCACGGAGCTTCTCTCTCAGAATACATGTGCGGCAGAATTCCAAGGAGCTCACACTTCTGGGTTGGTGCCCCAAGGATCCTCTTAAGGAAGAGGCTGGAGGAGTAACCTCACAACCAGAATGCCTTCCTTTTAGTATGTTTTCTGAGAAATTAAGATTTCATTGCAGGAAAATGTTTGAAAATTCTAACTGTTCAGGTTACCTGGCCAGTCTCCACAGCCCTATGAGTCAGCGTACAGTGGGTAATATTGTAGAACAAGAATGCAGTGTATATCCTGCACTCTGAGTTTACTTGGCTGGGAAAATGCATTATCAGGATTCATCCCAGAGGCTGTAGATAAAGAATAGTGAGAGCTGTAATGGCAAGGGGAAAAATCTCAAGACGTCTGCCTCTCCCAGGTGTCTACATATGTGTATGCCTCTGCATCTCTCCGGTCCCTGAGAGTGCGTTCCCATAGTGAACAATGTCTGTATTACTACTTACCCCCTGGAAAGGAGGGACATGCCTTTCCCCCCTTGATGAAATGGGTTTGTTTTGAGGACTTTTGGGGGGCCAATCTCTAAATGCATTGTGGGCAGTTACCAGAACTTCTCCTGTTTCCAAAACAGAACCGGGCTCTGAATCGTGTGGTAATATGTCTCCTTTCTCCCGAAACATGGCAGCCACTGTCATGTGGTGTCTGTTCATACCAGCATGTATACAAAGGGAACTTAAAGGCTGTTGGTTTTTTACTAAGTTTATATTTGTAACTTCTTTTCTTTTCCACTCCCAACAGGCTCGGGTTATGTATGATTTTGCTGCTGAACCTGGAAATAATGAACTGACGGTTAAGGAAGGAGAAATCATCACAATTACAAATCCAGTAAGAGAACTATTGCATTTAAATTGGATTGTCCCTTAAGGACCTAATTTTTAAGATTTTATTTATTTATTTGTTAATTCTCACCAGAGGGTGTTTTTTCCATTGCTTTTTCAGAGTGAATGGGGATAAAGAGGAAGGAAGGGAGGGAAGGTGAGAGAGAGACAGACAAACATAAACAGAGAGAAATTGGTGTGAGAGAAACACATCCATTGGTTGCTGCCCTGACCAGGATGTGCCCTTGATTAGAAATCAACCTTGAGACCCTTCAGTGTATGGGCTGAGGCTCTAACTGCCGAGCAACACCAGCCAGGGCAAGAATCCTATATAATAAAAGCCTAATATGCTAAGTGTCCAGTCAACTGGTCAGCTGTTCAACCAATCAAAGCATAATATGCTAATGATATGCTCAGTGGCTTGCAATGACATGCACTCACCACCAGGGGGGAGACGCTCCAACTGGTAGGTTAGCCTGCTGCTGAGGTGTGGCGCTGGAGCCCTCCTGCGGTCCCTCCCCAGCTAGCCAACTTCCTGCATCTCTCCCCTGCCCGGATTATGCCCTGGTGGGGCTGAGCTCCTCAGCCTAGCCTGCACCCTCTCGCAATCTGGGACCCCTTGGGGATGTTGGAGAGCTGGTTTCAGGGGATGGTTTTGAGGGATCCACTTAAGCCGGCAGACAGACAATCCCCGGAAGGGTCCTGAACTGTGAGAAGGCTCAGGCTGGGCTGAGGAGCTCCCCTCAAACCCCTACAGCCCAGTGCATGGATTTCATGCACCAGGCCTCTAGTACTTTATAAACATTGAGAAAGTTAAGTCTCCTAAAGATAGCTGGGTAGGAGTTCATCAAATAGAAATCCTAGCCAGATCCCAGCCAGATCAAAGGTGCTAAAATTAGAAAGTATTCAGTATTTCTTAGAAGTCGCAGCAACTATATTGACAACCTGTGAGTCCAGTGTTTGGCTAAGTTCTATCATACTTTATTGTATTTTCCCTTTGAACGCTGTGAGGTCAGTATTTTTGCAAATGAGGGTAACGAGACTTAGAGAAGTTAAGTAACTTATCCAAGGCCATTCTACTTGTGACAAAACAAGGATTCAAATCCACGTCTGTTTGGCCTCTAAACTTCTGCTTTTTTTCTCTGCTGGGGAACACTACATGTACACCAGTGTCCCAGGTGTGTACAGACCAGTAGGAGACAGACTAAGAACACTGGCTCTGAGAGCCAAATCAGACAGGGCTTGTATGCCATACAGAGATTCTGGGCTTCATTTGCTTAGTAGTGGATTCATTTAAGGGTTTTGCTAGTTCTTGGTGGTTGGTGGAGTTGGCAAGGGACATGATGAGACCAGCACTTGAGGAAATTAATCTAGTAGAGGCATATGGAATGGATTTGAGTCAAGGGACATGACTTTGAGTCACAACAATAGAAGTTGAAAGAAAATGGATATCGGAGGCTTTGGAGAGTCAGACCCAGAGGACTTGGGGCCTGATTAGGGACTGTTGGTGAGAAGAGGGTCAGAGACCCCTGAGGTGTTTGTTCTTTGCGCCTGAGACAATGGTGGACTTATTAATGTGTGTAAGTCAGGAAAAAAGATTAAATGAGTTTACTTTTAGATATGTTGAGTTTAAAGAATAGAAAATAACTAACCGTGGCCTGCATCAGTTTAAGAATGGAAATGCAGAGCTGGAGATGAGAGCTGGCTCCCTGGGCTCTGACAGGAAGCACACGAGGAAGGTGCCAGGAAGGCCAAGGGGACTCGGGGAAGGAAGGAGATGCAGCTGTTCCACCCAGTGGGGGCAGGGGGTGGGGGCGGGACAGCTAACAGCAGCACAAAGAGCCGGGGAGGAGACGAGGATGCCCGAGAGGAGGGTGGTGCTTTCTTACTAGTGATAGTATTTTTACAACCTAGTATTTTAAAATCTGCCTTAGGCACAAAAATGAATTACTGGGTAGAAAAAGAATATGTAGTTCTGTAAAATATGCTAGGTGTATATAAGTAAATAGGTTCTATTTTTAATCATTGATGAAATTTTGATTCTTTTATCTAATTTTTTTTTAAATGAAGACATATTCTTTATATCTTAGAAAAATAGTAATGTCTAAGATGCTGTTGTCAAAAATGGACAGAGTTGTGGCTTAATTTTTTTAAAAGAATGAAAAATGTTTTATCTAGATTCAGGTAATTAATAAATAATTAGGGCACAATTTATGAACTATTTTAAGGGGGGGAAAGTGGGTTTTTGCTGAGATAATAGATTGAAACACAGGAATCCTGGTATAGAGTACTTTATTACTTATTTTATTAGTAGTATTTTACAAGAAGAGCTAAAGAACCCACGGATCAGTTAGTTTTTTCTAAATAATTACCTTTTCCAGAGCTTAGCGACTAGAACAAATAAGCATTTGTCGTTGCTCAGGAGTCTACAAGTCAGCCGGATAGTTCTACCAGCTGGGGCTCACTCATGAGCTGGAGGTCACCTGGCTGGGCTGGGGCCTCCTGGGTCACATGGCTTCACTCACTCACGTGACCGACAGTGTTCCTGCGGGGGTAGACTGACTTTAGATGGGGCAGATTGGGCTTTGTCTTCATCACCATCTAGCAACGCAGATGTGTTCACAGAGCAGCTCTTCTGGGGGAAGGCCTCCGGAGGCCAGGCCTGAGCTCACCCCACCGTTTCCATCTCCCTGCTGACCAAGAGACCACAGCGGACAGCGCCGGTTCCAGAGGTGGGGTGTGCATTCTGCTTCTTGACAATCTGAGCTGCAGATCATTTTTGTAATCTACCACAGACCATAACTAGGAAGGAAAGATGGCATTCTGTGAATAGGTTATTTACAAATCTTTATCACTTATTGTTGAAGTTTGTTACTTCTTGTTTTTAGATGATATCATTTTTTGGAGTAAAGAAAAGGCTTAAAAATTTAAAATTTTGACATCACATATATAACAATTTCCAAAGTAAAATTTTTGCAGGAAATTCCAACTACATTCTTTCTTTTCTTTCTTTCCTTTTTTTTTAATTTTAATTTTATTTTTTAGGATGTTGGTGGAGGATGGCTGGAAGGAAAAAACAGCAAAGGAGAACGAGGTCTTGTTCCCACAGACTATGTTGAAGTAAGAACTTACTGTCATTTATCAACTACACCTTGTCTTTGTCAAACATAGTTTTATGAATTACCAACTGAAGGGACAGACTGGATGATAGCAACTTTATTTTTAATAAAAAATTTTCATTGCAAAAGTAATACACATTGATTATATAAAATGTGGAGAATACATTGAAGTGGAATTAAGGGAAAATATTATCTGTGGACCCAAGCTCCAAAGAGTGACTCCAAATATTTAAATGAAGCTCTTTCCAAAGATAGCAGTGTGTCATTATTCTGAATCTAAGTCCCTGTTTTTCACTTGCTTATGTTGTGTAATAGCTGCTACCTACGATACTGTTTATTATAGAATTGCCTCACACAGTGTAACTTTAGTACATTTCTCTCAGTTCCTCTCCCATTCCCACAGACAGAGGGTTTTGAACGAGCTACTGGGGACCACTGGCTGGGTTAAGCTCTGTTATGATAGATGCCAAGGGTAGTGTTACAACACCTTGAATGAATGAGGCTCCTGCCTGGGACACACCCACTCATCTGACAGGCCCTCTTGTGGGTCAGCCTCCCGGCGCCCCCCCGCTGGCTGTCCGTATGGGTTCTATAGCAAGCTATTCTCTAACCTGGGATATAGAACTAAGGCTGCCCGGTAGCCTGGGAGTAAAATCAGAGTGAGATCCAGAATAAAGGCACCTGCGGTTCCCCTCCAGCAGGGAGGAGCTACACCCAGGGAAGATGTGTACCAGGAGCTGCCTGCGGAATGAATGGCTGCCTGTCTCCTGTTCCTGAGTGAGAGAGTTTGGGTGGGAAGTTTTGAATCCTTTGGAGAATCTAATGAAATCTGTAGCCCTGCCGAGACCGGTTTTGCTCAATGGATAGAGCATTGGCTTGGGGACTGAAGGGACCCAGGTTTGATTCCGGTCAAGGGCATGTACCTTGGTTGCGGGCATATCCCCAGTAGGGGGTGTCCCAAGAGGCTCTCTCTCATCGATGTTTCTAGCTTTCTATCTCTCTCCCTTCCTCTCTGTACAAAATCAATAAAATATATATTTTTTTAAAAAGAAATCTGTAGCCCTTCTCAGAAACGTGCATTTGCACGCACCCAGCCTTTTCCATACAGTTTCAGTTTTCCCAGGCCTCTGAACTCAGTCCACATGCCTTATGTTTATGTTGTGTGTTTTAGCTCAGGGCAGCATGCTTTCAGGATTCTGAAAATTGACAAGAATAAGAAAAATCTGACGATTTAAGTAGATACTGTCTTTAATTGCACTGCCTAGAACTCTGCATATTCACAGAAAGGAATAGTTAACTGTGCTTGGGTTACTTGCCTCTTAGAAATATAAACCCCTTTTCTATAATAGATAGCTGTTCTTACTTGCCCTCAGGGACTCTTAACTCTGAAATAACTCTAAAATATTAAAATGATTGCGATCCTTTCTAATGTTCAGATTTTGCCCAGTGATGGGAAAGATCCGTTTTCTTGTGGAAATTCAATGGCTGACCAAGCCTTCCTCGATTCCCTCTCAGCAAGTACAGCTCAAGCGAATGCGTCAGCTGCCAACAGTAACAACACGGTGAGTCTTACATCACCCTGCTGGGTGTGGCTGGCCTCACTGGGAGCAAAGAGCATTGTGAGAGCTTGTGCTATGTGATAGCTGTCAGATGTTTGTGTGGCATTTCTCCTGGATATTAACAAAGAACTTGCTTGAAAAGAGTTGCCTTGAAAAGTCTGGCACGATCTGAACACAGAGCCTGTAAGTGGCGAATACCCTGTCAAGTGAGGGTGAGGAGAGGAAAGAAGGGTCCTGTGCTGAGGTGGTCAGTGTCAAAGCTCTGGCTGGGACAGGAAACCATCTGTCTGACCTTGGCACCTTGCTTGCACTCTCAACTAGAGCTCCCTCTTCTCACAAATGCAACACATGTAAAAGTGACTGCCAGCCAGCTCTGAGCACTTGGTACTATTATTGTATTCCTTCTAGAAAACTTGGGACAGTGTGATAATTCAGTGGGAAAATTACACTGTAATTTTACATTAATTTTAATGAAAATATGATCAGTTTAGGTGATGCTGCCTAGTGCAGTTATTGCTGATTGATTATCCACAGTGAGTGACAAAAAGACAATTGAAAGAATGGATATCAGAATATTATTGCTGCCTACATCTTTAGAGTGAATGGGCTTTAGGGAATGCTATTTCTTTATATATTTTCAACTACTTAGGTTCTTTGTGCCTCAGTTTCCTCATTAGTAAAACCTCATAAAATTGTTGGAAAGAGTAAAGGGAAAAATAGTTATAAAGTATTGAGAACAGTACTTGGTACTCAGCAGGGATTTGATAATTGCTTGTTACAGCTATATTATACACTGCTGCCTCTATAATAAGACATTTAGGGGCCTCCTCATTGCCTCCTGAAACAAGTAACCATTTCTACATGCAAAGAGAAAGAGTTAGGCAAGAGGTAGTCACTATCAGTCAGGATAACCAAGCAGACACCAAAGTGCATGGAAGGAAATTGTGTAAGAAATTCACCTGAACTTGAGGTAGGATTAGATACTTTTCCAATCTCAGTTCCTTACCTTATCCTTACTATGTATTAGGCTCCAGCCAAACTGGCTGTTCCCCAAATATGCCTTATGCTACCCCATCTTTTCTTTGTATCTTTGTTCTCTTCCAAGAATTATAGAATGATTCCTTCCATCTTTCAGAAGTCTGCCCAACCCTTAGGTCTCAAATCAAACATTACTCCTTTAGAAGTCTGTTTTTTCTTGTCCCCTTTGCTTCCTCTCGATTCTTGTAGCACTATTTGAGACTCGTAAATTATATCACTTATTTGTAAACTTGAAATTGTAGCTAAAGCCTCAAAGGTTTCAAATTGAACACTTTGGGCAAGAATATATTATGGGTAATTTTGTATATTCATGCTATAATACATCACATCAGAAGACATAATATCTAGTCAGCCCACCATTACTGATCAGAATGAGCTTGGGTCAGGTCAAGTTTTATTAGGGACCCAGGGGAATTACTACAGTGTTTTTCCCCTTAAAATTGTTACCTCTTAGAAGTCCATTCAAAGTATTTCCTCTGACATCAATATTTGACATTTTTCTTGCTCTTAAATACTACTAATTCTATCATTTGTTATTGCTGGGTCAGCTTCAATTGGTTTTTATCTTTTTATGGGTCTTAATTTCTTGCTTCTTTTCTTGCCTGGTGATTTGTTATTGGATGCCAGACATTTGTGACTTCTATCTTGTTATTATATGCTGGATAGTTTTATATCCTCGTTCTGGCATGCAGGTAAGTTACTTAGAAACAATTTAATCCTTTCACAGCTTATTTTTAAAAACATTTTAAAATGAGATCAGAGCTACATTTAGTCTAAGGACATTTTTCCCCCTCCCGGGAAGCAAAACCCTTTTCAGTCTGTCCCTAGTGCCTGTGAATGATGAGGTTTTCAATTCTGGCTGGTGAGAAGGGCCGTATGTGATATATTGACACTTAATCCTCTCATGTGGCAGGTTTCTCACCCGCATATGCTGATAAGTACTGAGCCCAAAACCTGGGGCCTCCTTCAGTCAGTCACATCTCCCCCTCGGTCCTCGGCCCCAAACTCCCAGCTGTCTCCACAACCCGAAGACCACTGGGCTTTGTGTGGGTTCCCACCCCCAGTCCGTGGCCTGGAAAGTCTCTCCAGGAGGGAGCAGGCCCTTTACTGCCTTATGTCCAGTGATTTGAAATCAGTTTTATATATTTTGTCGTTTTTATTTTTCAGTTTTAAGTGGAAACTGCATCCCAGTTACTCCATCTTGATTGCCCACTTTTGCATATTACTTGGTTTAGAAAACCAAGTTTATCTATATCTATAAAATGGAAATAATGCCACCACTTTGCAAGAGAGTTGTTCCAAAAAGTGCGTTGTCACAAAGCTGCATAAATGTTAAATAATGACATTGACTTCCCTGATAGATAGTTGTGGAGCTGGGATCTGAAGCCTGGAAATTAGACTCCAAAACTGTCCTCTTAACAGTGATGCCGGTTTGGCCTTGGCTGGCTTAGTGGGAGGGTATCCGTGATTCTTTTCTCCCTACGATGCTGCGTACTGAGCTGGGCAGAGCCTCGGGAACCCACCAGAAAAACTTTGCTCCTGAGTTCACGGCCTGGACGGGCTGTGTGGTGCCCTCCGCTGGGTTTGGTGGGTTCGTCATGGCTCTGTGATTGCTTCACGTCAACCTCATGGCTGTTCATCTCCTCTTCGCTCTCATGGATCTGGTGGCCATGAAAGCAAAGGGTTCAATATGCTAACATTATTAAAAGCTTGGCTATGTTTTTTCTCTCGAGTTTCTTTCATTGGCTGTGATACTTGCATGATATTTGTTCTGTTTCCTCTGTACTATAATTATTTTTAGTGCTTTAGAGATGCTGAATTATGACAGCAACGAGTCTTTATTTAAATTATTATTTTATTTTTTTAATTTTATTGTTTTTTTACAGAGAGGAAGAGAGAGGGATACATAGTTAGAAACATCGATGAGAGAGAATCATCGATCAGCTGCCTCTTGCACACCTCCTACTGGGGATGTGCCCACAACCAAGGTACATGCCCTTGACCGGAATCGAACTCGGGACCCTTTAGTCCGCAGGCCGATGCTCTATCCTCTAAGCCAAACCGGTTTCGGCAGCAACAAGTCTTTAGAATATAAACTAGTGCATTGGAGATAGCATATTGCAACCCAATTGGGGCTTTGCTTTTTGCATGTAATGTGTGTGAGCGAGGGGCATGCTGAAATTTCCTGGTAAACTTAGCCCTGCTACGAATTTGCTGTTTTTAGTTAAGAGCTTTGGAGTACTCTTTTTTTTCTTCATTTACTGAGCACCTCTTTTATTTTAAGGTGGATATTTTGGCTCAGATTGGTTGTGTTGAAAGTCTCAGCCAGTCACCACCTTCTTCATCTTCTCCTTCTCCTCCTTCTTCTTCCATAAATAAGGTAAAATTCAAACTTAAATGCAAGAGGAAATACACATTTAAAACCCCTGAAGTAATACCTGTTTCCCAGTGAGGTCATTGCTCCAGGTAAAGCATCTTGCACAGCCCTTCTGGAGGCGTGTGGAACCATTGGAACTGCAGTGAGGGCTCAAGAAGAGTCTTAAGGACGAGGCTGAGATTCAGGAAGGACTTGGTGCCATAAAGGGAGGGGCCGGGGGAAAGAAGGGAAGACATTGCTGAGGATAAAGGAGAGGAGGGAAAGGTAGAGAAGTGTTGCCTCTGGGTTTGGCTGGGACTGGAACCCTCAGTACGGTAGGACTTGGGCAGAGTTCAGGAGGAGGATGGAGGAGGCTTTGTGTGCCAGTAGAGAGAATAGCATGAGCAAAGGCAAGATGTAGGAGAGTTTGGGAACCTGTGAAGGTTGAAGCACAGAAGTGAAGGTTAATGGCAAGTAAGAATGGGAAATGTCATGGAGGAAAAGTTAGGACCTTGATGGGTGGACAAAGGAGCTTGGAGTTTATTCCATTGCCAGTGAGAGCTAATGAAGGGTCTTTAACGACATGTGGTTGAGAGTGAGGAAGGGTTTGGTACCGTAAAGAGGTTAAAAGAAGAGTATGAAGACACTGCTGGGGAGGAAGGAGAGGGAGGAAAGCTGAAGAAAGTAGAGAAGAGTCACTTCAGAGTTGAAACCGTAGGGAGGAGCAGAGTGTGTGACCAGACACAGGCAGCTGAGGGACCACGGATGGGGGTTGAAAGCAGAGAAGTCAGAACGGTGGGCTCAGAGAGACAGGACCAGACTGTGTGAGCTCATTTAGGTATTGATCTTAGAAGAGGGGTTCTGGAGGTCAGTGAAAGGTCATCAGAGAGAGAGAAAGCCAGTAAAAGGCATGAAAGAAGGCTGGAAAGAGTTCTGGTTTGGAAAGATTGAAACAAGATAGAAAGTTCCAGAAAAAATAACAAAAGACAGAGGCAAACCATTACCATATTTGCCTACAGGGATTTTATAATCTACAGTAGATAGAGAGCTAAGATCGTAAACATAACGAAATAATGTAGCAGTTATTACAAGTATTTTGTGAACAAAGTGGTTTTAGAGAGAACCATCATATGTTTCTGCCCTAAATTGTAAGTTCTGGGGATACTTGCTGTGAGTAGGTCACATTCCGTTTGCCCAGTGCTGATGAAAATCTTCCTTTGACCCTTCACTGTCAGCCTTAGCGGCACTGCAGTGCTGAGCTCCTACCCTTCCTGTTGCTTTAGTTTATAACCCTCTGTTCCTTTACTTCGTTTCAGTCTGTCAGTCTCAGACCCCGAGTCGGCTGCCTGGACTTGAATTCTAGCTGAGGTTGCCCCGCTGGAGAGGCAGAGCCAGGGTTGTAACCCGCAGCCTAATGGAGGGAAGCCATGTTCCTAACTGTGCCGCCCTCAGTTGGCCGCCTTTATTTCCAGTCTCCACTGGAGTAGCTTGGAAGTATGATCTTGTAAGCCATGTATTGGAGAAACTCACGGTCGTGTGAATGAAATGTCTTTCTGCTATTAATATTTGCCTTAGACAAAATCATTAGGAACTTCAGAAATCATAACTCCATATATAAAACATATATTCTGCTTTTTATGCTTCTGGTATGTTGTAGCCAATTATCCATCCCATCTGTCAGTGAAGTGTAAACAGACCAACATTATAGGGTTCTAGAACGTTAAAAAGCTACCTAAACAGTTTGGGAAATTTTCCTATAAATATCTATATGTCTCTATCTCTTTCCTCCGCCCCCAACTCCATATTTTTTTCCCCCATGTGAAGGGGAAATATTGTGATTCCATGTTCGTGGATATACAGATTCAACATTGAAATTGCTGCTGTTGTTTTTTAAGGCATTACCTGTATTTAAATTTAAATTGGTTGTAAATTTCTATTGCTTTCTTTCAGCATTACTATTGTATTCAATTGTTACGTGATTCCTCCCGAATTGAGTAATGCTTCTAGAAGTCACAAATATTTTTTCTCCTTTTTTACCCTCAACAACAGGTCAGCAGTGGCAATGACCCCTGGTCGGCCTGGAGTGCCTCCAAATCTGGAAACTGGGACAGCACGGATGGCTGGGGAGCCAAGGCGGAGGGGACTGCAGCCCAGAAAAGCACTGCCAATAACTGGGACACCGCCTTTGGTCATCCCCAGGCCTACCAGGGACCAGGTGAGGAGGATGAGGAAGAGGGCTCTGCTGGGGACTAGGGCATCGGAATAAAAACAGATTCCAATCCAAGGAGCTGTTCTCAGGTGCTCCTATTGGGTAATAGTGAACCTATTACTAGTCTGCATCTATTGTAGGTAGCTGTTAATTATGGCCATTAGTCCAATCTCAGTTATCTGTCAAGGAGTCACATGCTTGCAGGGGCCAGGTTCATAAAGCAAAAGAACACTTTAAAATCTTGGCAATTAGCCGAAACTGGTTTGGCTCAGTGGATAGAGCGTCGGCCTGCAGACTGAGGGCTCCCGGGTTCGATTCTGGTCAAGGGCATGTTACCTTGGTTGTGGGCACATCCCCAGTGGGGGCGGGGGTGTGTGCAGGAAGCAGCTGATTGATATTTCTCTCTTATTGATGTTTCTAGCTCTCTATCCCTCTCCCTTCCGCTCTGTAAAAAATCAATAAAATATATTTTAAAAGATAAAAATAAAATAAAATTGTGGCAATCGACACACATGTAGTTTCTTTTAAATCTTAGGCTAAAAACAAATGTATACAGATGAAATATGGTGTATCACCTGCCAGGCTATGATCTCTGACCAGCTATTTCATCTTTTCCTTAACTACTTGTTTGACTCCCAGGCCATCAATGGAAATATTGAGGCAGAAGAGGAATTTATAGATGGGGAAACAGTTAAGGAAGGATATTTATGTCGGTTCTGAAAACAAATAAGATACAAATCTGCTCATCATTTTTTATGATCCCTATATGAGCACATTGTGCCAGGAATTGAATGTGCTAACTGGCAAGGACCGGGACTATTGGCAGGACCAGGAGTCTTGGGCTGAGTAGAAATGTTGAGACCAGAGTGCTGACGTGTAGTTCTTAGTAAGTGCCATGGCCCCAGGAAGCTTGGCTCAGGTCCTTCTAATACTTCCTGTTCTTTTCTTTTTTGTTTTGGCATTTGTCTCTTCGTTGTGGCACTCTTAAGGCAGAGATGCCAGGGTCATTTCCTGTCTAATAGCAAAAGGACAAGCCAGGCCCCCAGAGGTGGGAGGCAGGCAGACTGTGGTGAGGAAGGGAGCAGGTGAGCTGGCAGCACCTTACCTGATATACAGACTACTGCTGTGTTAGGCTGCGAGTGCTGGCTGTACTTCCTATCTCCCGTTTTTCTGTCCTTTCTCCTCTATCCCCATCCTGTTCCTTTCCATCTCTCCCACCATCACCCTTCTCTCACCTTTATTGTTCCTAATGATAATTGCTTGTAAGAGCTTTATTATACCTTTTGTCCTCCTCACTCATAGATAAATAGATAGGTACATAGATAGATTTCAGAGCGGAAGGGAGAGGGAAAGATAGAAACATCAATAGCATCAATGACGAGAAAGAATCATTGATCAGCTGCATTCCCCCTGCTGGGGACCAAGCCCACAACCCAGGCCTGTGCCCTGACTGGGAATCAAACCATGACCTCCTTGTGCATAGGTCAGCACTCAACTACTGAGCCATACTATGCAGACCTCCCCAATCTTCTTGACTTTAAGGGTGTTTGATCTGCTTCCTTGCGAGTTTATAACGCTAGATTTATCAACGAATGGGCCTCCAGAAGACCTTCCCTTGTGTACCACGGAGCATTTTTATAGTCACTTCAGATGAATGAAGTTACTTGGACTGACGGTCCTCTTGAAGCTAAAAGGCAGACTGACTGCGGAGCCTCTATTCTTCATGTCTACTTCATGCTCCTCTAGTGCACCCTTTTCCCCTTTTTAACTGGTCAGCCCCCTCGGTAGTTTTTATCCTAAAATTAAATTATTCCCTTTTTATTTTGTTTTCCTTCACTGATCATCGTTGGTGCCCACCCCTAGCAACTGGTGACGATGATGACTGGGATGAAGACTGGGATGACCCCAAGTCATCTTCTCCCTACTTCAAGGATTCAGAGGCAGCCGAAGCAGGAGGTGCTCAACGCTTAAACAATCGTGCTGGCTCCTCGTCGATGAAGCTGCCACTTAACAAGTAGGTTTAAAGGGAGTCAAGGCACAGGACCTCTGTGTAGGAATAGACAAGATACAAAGAGGCCTTTTCTCTTCTCAGTGATTTACAAAGTTTTGTAATTTGCTCACTTTATTTATTTGGATCTTAGCTTGGTAGTTTGTTTTAATACTAGAGGCCCGGTGTACAAAATTCATGCACTCGGGGCCGGGGGTACCTTAGCCTGTGTTGCAAGAGGGTGCAGGCCAGGCTGAGGGACCCCACTGGTGCACAATTGGGGCTAGGGAGGGACGTGGGAGGTTGGCCAGGCAGAGAGGACCATAAGAGGGCTCCAGTACATGTCCGGTCTGACTAGTTCATTCCTAATCTGCTTCACCCCAGCAGCAAGCTAACCTACCAGTCAGAGCATCTGCCCCCTGGTGGTCAGTACATGTCAAAGTGACTGGCCTACTGGTCAACTATCTGCCTGCTGGTCGTCAGTGCACATCATAGCAAGTGGTTGAGTTGCCTTAGCATATCATTAGCATATTACACTTTGTTGTGTTTTTTTTTAAATATATTTTATTGATTTTGTACAGAGAGGAAGAGAGAGAGAGAGTTAGAAACATCAATGAGAGAGAGTCATCGATCAGCTGCCTCTTGCACACCCCCTACTGGGGATATGCCCGCAACCAAGGTACATGCCCTTGACCGGAATCGAACCCTGGACCTTTCAGTCCCCAAGCCAACGCTCTATCCATTGAGCCAAACCGGTCTTGGCAGCATATTACAGTTTGATTGGTTGAACAGATAACCAGACAGCATATTGCGCTTTTATTATATAGGATTTTTTTTTTCACTTTAAAGGAAATATTTGTCCTATTTAATGATCTGCAAACACTGTTTTTACCTTTATCAACTCCAGGATGTATTTAGGTTTCCTTACTAACGTCACAGGAAAACCAAAACTAACTTTCTTTAAATATTTTATTATTTATTGGTCATTGATCGCTTATCGAATTACCAGGCATTGTACAAAGCAGTTTGTATACATTCTCACGAGAGCCTCATATCCCTGTGGTACATGTAATCTCTGTTCTGTGGGGAAAACTGAAGCCCAGAGAGGTTAACTAACTGCCCAGACTCACACAGGATTCCAGGCCAGTCCCTCAGTCTCCTAAGTACATGCTCTAAACTACATTGCTTAAGGTAATTAAGATTGTTTTCACCTAGATTTCTCTTATATTAAAAAAGGCTTTGAGTCATACTTGTAGATGCACTGCTTAACAAGAAGGCAGGTGGTAAATATGGACGGAGTACTGTAGCATTGCTTGGTAGAGAGTTCTGGATAGTCTGTAGTTCACACCATAGAGCTTGAAGGGGATATAATTTGAGACTTCCATAAGAATCTTCAAGTGCTCTTTCTTTCAGCAGTTATGTGTGAAATAGTTTTCTAAGATGACTGATACTGTTTCTCAGTGGTCCAAGCCCATGATTCAAAGCAGATACCAAGGAATGTTAACCTGCGTCTGGAAAAATATTGTCAACATAATGTTTGATACCTGTATCTAGTTACCAGGCTCCAGTTCTAGATCTGCACACATATGCATACGTTAATAAGCCCTACAGTCCCCTTAGTATATTTAATGAGCATCAGTGATTAAATATCATCTTTTAGCTACCCACTTTTTCTATGTCTCTGTCTGGTTTCTTCCATTATGTATTTTCATGTTCGGTTTCTTGTGTAAAAAAATTAGTCATTTGTTATTGACAATATCCTGTTTCTTAGGGACAAATTTGAAGTTTTCAGTATGGTCAGTAAAGATGTGTATTTCTCTCCACTGTTCTTTAAACCTGCACACAGAATGTATTTAAAACCCATTTCAGTGGAATGTATCTCTTTGTCCCAGTTTGAAAATGAGGAAGTCGAGACTGCACCACATGACCGGCCAAGTTTTCTGCCAAGTTTTTGTGGCTAGAAAGTGAGGTTGTGGCTGGTGCCCAGGCCCGTGGCTCCACCGCCTATTCTTTCTTTCCACTGCTCGACGCTGGCTGATACGCTGTATAATATTAGAGAAGTTGGAAGATCTGGTTGAGCCTCAGCCACCTAACCTCTAAGTGAAGGGGCTGGCTTTAAGAATTTTCTGCTCTAAAATTTCATTCCTCTTTGAAACCAAGTTAAAACAGTCCTCATTTGCATCTGCAAAAATTTCTAATCCAGTCTTGTCTTCTTTAGAAATAGTACTTTGGATGGCTATGCATGTATTCCAGCTTTTCTCCAATTTTAGAAATTTGCTTTGGATTTAGATTTGATTTCTGGAAGTAACCAAATTTATTATGTTTTAGGTCTCTGTTTTCTTTTGTGTTGGGAAAACTAGTTCTTTTGTCTGTCAAAGGCAGCTTCTTTGGGATAATTGTGGCTGCCCTGAGGAGGGCATATGTTGAAAGACAGCTTTAATTTGGATCTAGAAATGCTGTGTGTGGCCATTACCCCGTGGTCAGCTCTCATTGGTATGCTCGGTAGCGTCTCCTGTGATGTGGGGGACATTTTTCTGGTATGCCCTTCACTCTTTGTGGGTGATAAAGTTAGGCAAATGGAGTGCCATAAATATCACACTTTCTGGAGTCAAACTGTTCTCTTACCAGAGAAAGCTTAATTAAATGACTAATTGGCCACCACACAATCTGATTAGTTTAAGTTTCATTTACCACAGTTTCCTAGACCTAGTACACCTGTGAGACAGACAAGGTTAAGGTGGTTGTATTAAGTAAATGTGGATGAGAGCTGTATAATTCTTTTAAGAAAGACGTACGTCTCACGAACATTTGTCTTCATGTTTAGGTTTCCGGGATTTGCAAAACCTGGGATGGAACAGTATTTGTTGACTAAGCAACTAGCAAAACCCAAAGAGAAAATTCCTATCATTGTAAGTTTGTTCATTTTTGTTTGTTTGCTGTGTTTCTGACTAAGCTCTCTTATATCTCTTAAAACTAAAAGGTTATTAGTTATTTGGAAAGTTTCTAAACACATTTAATACTCTAAATAACTGAGTATGTGCTAGTATTTTAAAAGTACTAAAGTTAATTAGCATAAATTAATGTCTGTCATAATGTTTAGGTATTGTTTACATTTACCTTTCAGATTTAGTAAATGAACCAACAACACCCTTTAGTATCTGTATTTTTAATAATTCTTTGTCTGTTTTGTGTCTTGAAGTACCTTTTACATGCTGTTTTTCTACCTAATAAACCCAATTCAAATATTTAGGTTTCTGCCTGGCAAAGTCCATGCATGCTATCAGAATTAAGTGCCTTTTCCACTAAGTTGATATAATTAGTCTTTCTTCCAGTAAACCTGCTCTCAGGTCATAATAAGGAGCTAGCAAATAAAAGCTGACAGTAATGACACCATTCAGAATATCTGTCTTAGAATAACTTGGCTATTACATCACATGCACTGGCTCTTCAGTTTCACCCAAACATTGATTGCTGGTAGATTTTTTCTGTCTAAGCATTAGATAGCCGATATTCTCAGATAAAATTCTGGGAGAGAACTGTGGCTCCTTCTGACCCTATTGCCTTACCCCGGTGACTACGGGATGGGGGAACCTTGAGTGTAATCATCATAGACTCAAACAAGGAGGAGGAAACATCTGGTCTTAATCCATAATCTCCTAGGAGACTTGATAAAATTGCAAGAATGATGTTGGACTTATTTTATTACTTATTACATCTTTGAAACCTGGAAACCTCCAGAGAGAAGGGATGTGGCCAAGACCCCTTTTTTCCTTCTTTCCTCAAAGCAAATTTGGGGTAATTATCTTCTGAACTACCCTAGAACAGATATTCTTAATGGTGTCATTAGATTAAATTTTTTTTTCCTTCAGACCTTTTGTAAATACTGAACATGTATCATTGTTTTTGTTTTGTTTTATTTTTCATTAAATTTAAAATTCCACATAGTTAAGAGGCCCTCGCCCTGCCCCCTGGATTCGCAAAGGGGACTTTGTCACAACTGTGGCAGTGGTGTAGAGCTGAAGGACCCCAGCTTATGTACCAAAGTCGTAGGTCGAAGTGCCCTGCAGGCAGACTGCCTCTGTGGGCTTCTTGTGTGGAAAAGGGAGCCCAGGAGAGCCATTCGTCTTCAGGAAACCGAGAGGAAGTAGAGACCTGGTTCTTGGCTTTTAAGGCACAGTAACCCTTCCCACTGATACAGTGGACCCTTGTGTAGTGAGCAGAGTCCATCAGAATTGCTCTCGTGCTGTGATTGTGGGGAGTTCCCCAGCGGCTCCTCTGCAGCTTTAAGGGTTTTCTGGATCAGCACTCCCCTTGGGGAGCCAGAGTAGCTTGTTGTCATAGATCTTCTCTCTAGCACCTTATTAAAATTCTCTGGACCCCAGTCATCATCCTGACCTAATGGCCCCTGAACTTGCATGCCCCGCCCCACTTTTCCTTCCTTCCACCCTTAAAAAGAAATAGGCCAGGGTATACAGAAAATGGGAACGTTTGATGGCAATGTGACATTTTTCAGACATACAAGGCTGTAATTTTTTATTTCACAAGCTATCAACCCATGAGAGAAGGGAACATTTTAAACTAGCCCTTTATACATATAACTAAGATGGCTGGACCAGAGAGAGAAAACTTGTGTTCCACCCAGCATTCCAGCGGGGAGGGAAACGGGCATCTTCCCCTCCTGGCCTGGAGGACCCGGATGAGGAACAGCACTATTTGCCTGGCGAGCGTGTTCTTCAAATAGAGCTCAGCGGGAACAGAGAACATTGATGTGACCCTCAAATAGGGGCAAGAGCAGCCCTCCAAAGGACCCCTAGTCCTAAAGAGAACCTTGATGACTTGCATCAACTTTATTTGCGGGTTTTCCTTATAACAAAGTTATCTCTCCCTTAAACGTTATGTAGGTTGGAGATTATGGCCCGATGTGGGTTTATCCTACCTCTACCTTTGACTGTGTGGTAGCAGATCCCAGGAAAGGCTCCAAAATGTATGGGCTGAAGAGCTACATTGAGTATCAGCTGACGCCCACTGTAAGTACCCGAGTTATCAAAAGCTTATGTCACTAGTTAGAATTGGCTTTTTTCTTCATTTTCTGTAATTGGCATTGTAACTTTTTCTCCTCTTTCCCTTATTTTGTAGAATACTAATCGATCTGTAAACCACAGGTATAAGCACTTTGACTGGTTATATGAACGTCTCCTGGTTAAGTTTGGATCAGCCATTCCAATCCCTTCTCTTCCAGACAAGCAAGTCACAGGTGAGTGTGTGTGCCGCTGAACTCAGGGCGACAAGTAAAAAGACTCCAGTTTTTAGAGTTTCCCGATATAAATCAGTAATGGCATTTCCATCCTCTAGAGGGGCCAGATGGAGGAGTTTGGAGACAGTAGCTGCATACACTATACATACCGTACATGTGTTTGGAAGTGACCTAAACACCTAACAAAGACTCATAAAGTTTTCTATCAGAGTTCTTGAATTCTAGCGAAGTTGTTGTGTCTTTATTGCTACACCCTTTCTTGTAAAAGAAGTACATGGATGTTAAAATGATACCTGAGAAATGATCCAAATAGCTTGAAGTGGAACCTCAAATCTATGGCCCCGCTGGTGGGAGCACTTCACGCAGTCAGATGTCTTGTTTGCAGTAGAGATGTGTAGGTATCCGGGGTAGAAGCCACAGAGCTTCCAGCTGTTAATGCAGGCGCTGCCAAGTTTTCTACCCAGTTAGGAGGTGACTATTTGTAGTTAAATGTTTTTATTTATCACTGAGAAGCCCTCTGCTTTTTCTTATTTAAGGTGTTATTTTCCCCACTTTGCCCTGCCCCAAGTAGTCTGTTGAAGAATCCACATGCTGCCAGAGCCCCTTATAACCTGCCATCGGAAAGGACTTCTGTGTCTGTTTTGAGAACTGTCATTGATTTTTTTTTTTTATCTCCTAGTATAAAACCTGGAAAAATAGTACTCAGGATTTGTTATGTTTTTCTCAGAATAAAAGTTTATAACGAAGCTGAGCTTTACTGAAGATTGGGAAGAGTTTTAGTAAGTAGGTATGGAACTGATAAGTACAGAAAGGAAAGGATCAAAGATGAGAGTGCGGCTTAAAGGTCTGGGGTAGATAGCCTCTGAGAAGGGATGACATCAGCAGGCTAATCCTAACCCCAAAGCAGAACGCAAAGCAGAACGCAGAGTCTGGGGAGGAAGGCTCCTTCCCCAGATGTCCGAGAGGACCAGACAAGGTTTAATCCTCACCCCGTAGCGTGGAGATAAGTAGTTTAGAGAGGAACTGAGAATCCTAACCAGCCGAATGGCAGAGCCGGCTAGGACACTTCGGTGCTGTAGTGAACTTACCCCTGCCGGGGTCCGAGGGCCCAGACACGGCGCCGCTGTCTCCGTTCAGAAACGCCGAGCCGCCCTGCCGGCATTCCGAAGCTCGCTGTTTAACATGAGATGTGGACCAGCTTATCTTAGTCAGAATTAGAGACCTTAGGATAAGAAGTTTGTTCTCCTTAAAACGTTACCTTGTACTTATTTTCTGTTTCTCTGAGAATTTTTGAGGGCATGGAAACATGTTTTTAAAAAGTTGTTTTGATTGTGATTTTTTTTTTTTTTTTTCAAAAATTTCAAATTGTCACAGCAGAATGGGGAATGGGGCTGGGGCTGCATTAGCATTCTCACCCTCATCTGGGTGGCCCTGAGCAGCCCCTTGGGCGGGGCACATCGGCGGGAAGCCGTGTCAGGGTGGCCAGGCTGGTGTCTCTGCTGCCTCCTTCCACTCGGAGGGGTCACTGTACCCCCAGTCCTGTGCCCGGTTCACAGTCCTCCTTTTGTCATCCTGTCACTTTAAATAGCAGCTTGCTTTTTAAAATTTTAGATTTCTTTCCCTGAAAACATCAGTCTGCCTTTCTCCATATTTTCAAATTGCAGTTCGTTTCCTGAATGTTATACTCTCCTTTATCAACTTGACTGGCCCAAAATGTGGAATGAGTGGATTGAGTTATTTCAGGGCTGAGGAATTTACAGACCACTTAGGTTTTAATACATTGTTTAGTCTAAATCAGATAGCTGTGCTGTTTTAAAGCGTCGTGGAGTCGTGGTTCTCTTCCCATATTAAGGTTTGTATGGTTTTTTAAAAAAAGAAAAAGTTCAAGCCCGAAGCCAGGGGGATGCCAGAGGAAAGCAGAAAGCACAGCCCGTGGTGTGCAGAGAGCTGAGCCTTGATTCACTGCCTGGGAGATGTGCTGAGGAGACTGGAAAGCACAGAAGCCACTTCTCTCTCCCTCCTCTGGCTTGCCTCCTGCCCCGATGCCACAAGACCATTATTGTGTAAACTCCCCTCGCACTCAAGTCTGGAGGACAGAATAGAAATGCCAACATATGATGTCACGGCATTTCTGTGGACTTGCTGAGCTGTCCCTGAAAAACCTACAGCTATCATTTTTTATTTATTCACAGATTTGGGGCTTTGTGAAATAATATTGAATGAATCTGGCTTTACTCCTGGGTGCAAAACTGACATGTTCACATTCTTAGTGAAAACCTAAGCAGGGTTATTAAAAATGGGAAAAGGAGAATTCCCTCCCCCATTTCCCGCTCCCCCCCCCCCCAAATTCTCTGAAACATGCTATAAAAATCTTACCAAGCACAAAATAACACCTGAAATTATTTGGAAATAAACCAACTATGTCAGAAAATTTTCTGGAAGAAGTTAAGAATCAATCAATAAATAGGCTATGAACTCGTGGTATGAACTCACTTGGTCATAATGGGGAATTCGGTATAACTCAGGTCTATGCTGATTTATCGGGTCTTTTTCTGTCCCTCCTTATATCTAACAGACGAGACTGTTTCTGCACAGCCTAAGCTTATATAGTACTTAATCTCTGTCCTAGTAAGTGCAGAATTTGAAGTGCTTTCATATACAGGACCTATCACACAAACACACACACACACACACACACACACACACACACGTACACGCACCATAGATGATAAATTGCTTTTCACTTGCTGCTTTCAAATTTTGATTTTGTTTTGTCTTTCAGAAGTTGGATTCTGCTATATCTTGGCGAGGGCTCTTTATATTTATCCTACATGGGGTGTATTGAGCTTCTTGGAAGTGTAAATTAAAGTTTTCCATCAAATTTGGGAAATTCCCCCACATTATTTCTTCAAATATTTTTTTCTTCTTTCTCTTCTCCTTTGGCTTCTCCCATCATGAGGATGTTGATGTTTTCTGAGGCTCTGTTCATTTTACATTGGTTTTATTTCTCTCTGTTCTTCAGATTAAATAACATCTGTTTATATTCAGATTCACTCTTTTTTTTGTGTGTGTGCCATCTTGAATCTGCTGTTAAAACCTTAGAGTGGATTTTTAATTTCAGTTATTGTATTTTTAACTTCAAAATTTTTCAATCTTTTTTTATAATTTCTGTCTTAGTCTCTATTTGTAGATTCCTCGTCATACTTTTCTTTAAAATTTTTAACATGGCTTCCTTTTAGTGCTTGGAACATATTATATTTATAGAAGCTTCTTTGTTGTTTTGGTTTTGTTGTGAAATTCAACATCTGGGAACACTTACAGTTTCTCTTGACTGCTTTTTTCCTCATATGGATCATGCCTTGCTGTTTCTTTGCAATCTCTTAATTTTTTGTTGAAAACAACATTTTGGAGAATATATTTTAGCAATTCTAGATTATAATTTTTCTCTCTGAAAGTTGTTGTTTCTGTTTGTTTTATTTGTTTGTTTGATTTACAAGTAACTTGCGTAGGCTAAGTCTCTGAAACATGTCTCTCCTATGGCTCAGTTTTATTTTATCTTTTAAAGTAGTATGGCTTCCTAGGGTTCACCTGTGTCTGTGTGTCTTGGTGGTAAGCCTGCCTCAGGCCATTGAGCTTCTGTCCTCTGCCAAGGGACCTGTGAGTGAGCAGGGGAGCCCATTCGAAGCTCAGGTCATTTTCAAGTTAGCCCTGGTTTTCCCTTCTTTGAGGCCCCTTTTGTGTCTCCTTCCCATGTGTGTGTAGCCTCAGGTTGGCTGGCCTGGACCCCAGCAAATCTGCCCTGTCTCTGCACTGGGCCTCGGCCTGAAAGTCTTGGCTCAACCTCGTCACCTTGGCTCCTGGAGCTGTTGGCCTCCCTGTTCACCAGCCTCTGAATTGGCACTGCCCCGCCACTGAGCATGGGCATCTCCCACACTCCAGATCCAGTGAGGTCCTTTCCTCCCCGAGAAGAGCAACTGCCCATCTTCACTCCTGCTCCGTCCTGGTAGAACCCCATGCCGGCCAAGGAGAGATGGAGGGTGGGGGCAGGAGGGGAAGACAGGAGCAGCCAGAAGCCAGACGCCACAGATTTCCACTGGCTTTGCCTGAAGTACAGCAGTTTTGCAAACACATTTCTCAGATGGCTGCTGGCCTTCGGTGGGCTTCCAGGGCGCTGGTGGTTTTGCTTGTTTGGGTTTATAGTCATTTGGGGAACTGGGTTAGCTGATTGCCTCACTTGACTGCAGCTGGAATCTCCATTGCCAGAAGCCTTTTAACTGATACCCTGTTTCCCCGGAAATAAGACAGTGTCTTATATTAATTTTTTTCTCCCAAAGTTGCGCTAGGTCTTATTTTCAGGGGATGTCTTATCTTTCCATGCGCTAGGTCTTATTTTCGGAGGATGTCTTATTTTTGGGAAACACGGGTAGTAGCTTTGTTTGGTAGGCTTATAAAAATGGCAGCTTTCATTATTGCATTCTTGGAAAAATTGCTTTTTCTATTTTCAGTTTAAGTAGCTTAAAAAATAAAATGGGGGGAAAGAGCTTCAGTCCTGAGTTACTTTGCATAAATACTAAACTTAAATTTGTATATCTGAGATTATACAGCATTTGGTCACATTTTTATAAATATAGAAATTTCATATGCTTTTATAAGGATTATTTATTAAATTCAACAATATTACCTTTCTTATCAATAGGACTTAATATGGCCACAGATTACTTTATAAGAAAGAGAAGGTTTTTCATATTGAAATAAGATTTACTTTAAATTTTTAAAATACTTTAGGAAACCTTGAGGAAAATAGCATTTTGAGGTTATAATATTCTTATCACAATTAAAAGGTTTGTTGACTTGTTAAATTGTAATTTCATGCTTATAAACTAAAAAGTCTATTGTATCATTCCTGTGGGTCTTTGATAATTCACTATGTTACTTGTTTTTATTTTTCTTTATATTATTTTTTGTGAATCCTCACCTGAAGATATTTTTCCATTGACTTTTAGAGCAAGTGAAAGGGAAGGAGAGAGAGAGAGAAACACTGATGTGAGAAAGACTCATCAGTTGGTTGCCTCCCACACAAGCCCCATCCGGGACCAGGGATGAAGCGTGCGCCTGCTGTCTGCGAGGGCTGCTGTGGAAATCACCGTGGCTTACCTTTTACTAATAACTTTCTACCAAGGAGCCATTAGCTCTATAAACAGCTTTTTGACAAAGTGGTAATCCTATCGGCGCATCCCTTGCAGGTCGCTTTGAAGAAGAATTTATCAAAATGCGCATGGAGAGACTCCAGGCATGGATGACCAGGATGTGTCGGCATCCAGTAATTTCAGAAAGTGAGGTTTTCCAGCAGTTTCTAAATTTCCGGGATGAAAAGGTATTTGATAATTGTCATATTCACATCAATTTTATGTCTGAAAGGAGTTAAAATTATGTCAGTTGGATGGTTATTTCTGATCTTCTCTACAAAGACAATGGGGATAGAAAGCTAAATCCCAGGGATAGGAAATTAGTCACAAAGTCTGAAAGAACTGCTTGCTGGGATGGTTCTCCATCTGTGGAGAACAGATTGGCCAGAGTAGAAGGGGCAAAGGATGTGCTAGGCTGAGGAATGGTTCTAGATGCTAAAAATAGGCTAGACTCCAAACTATGCAGGATATTACCAGCATGAAGTGAGGGAAACAGGATGAATTATTTTTTTTTTATGATCATATCAATTTTTTTAAAAATTGATTTTAGGAAGGGAAAGAGAGGCAGAGATCATAAAAACTGATTTTTGTAGTCAAGAACTCATGTAGATGGATGAATACAGAAAATTCCAATGAATCTACAGAAAAATTACTAGAAATAAGTAGTTAGTGAGGTAGTTGGTTATAAGACATTGCATATTTGTATATTGGCAATAAACAGAAAATGAAAGTATAAAATACTATCACTTACAACAGCATGAAAAATATCAAATTTCTAGGAGTAAATACAAGGAAATTTACAAAAGACATAAAAAACTATGGGACACTGTTGAGAAAAATAAAAGACTTAAACAAATTTTCCAACATTATCTTTCATGGATTGAAGGACAGAAAAAAATGTCATATGTAAAAAATCAAAGCACTGAGAACAGCCAAGATCCTCAGGAAAAAGCACGAAGTGGGAGGAGGACTTCTTTGGATATCAGGACTCACTGTAAAGTTAAGAGTTTCAGAAGCAAGGAAGTGACGTAAAGGAAGACAATAGGCCAGCAGAGCAGGACAGAATGCTCTCCTAATATCTGACACAGAGGATGCTGATTCGGTGGGGAAGGACGGTCCTTTTAACAAACGGTGCTCAGTCCATTAGGTTAGTGGTCGCCAGTCAGTGGTCCGTGGACCACTGGTGTCCATGAGGTCCGAAAGGTTGGTGACCGCTGCATGAGATGGCACCACTGGAGAAAACAAAGCATGGTGCCACCTGAACAATGTACTGCTGGTCTTGTTAGGCTGACATTAGCATGGTGGCTATGTGTGGCCTTATATCGGAGAGGTCCATTTAAGTAAGCAAGAAAACTGGTAGAATAGAGGAGATAAAACAAAATTGGTAAATTTTTGATAATTGTTGAGGGCTGAGTCTTACAGGGGCTTATTGTTCTTTCTCTCTACCTTTGTATATGTTTGGAAGTTCCATTGTATAAAGTTTTAAATCAATTCCAGATCATTCTGAGGTCTAAATTTGAAAGGCAACCAATAAAGCTTCTAGAAGGTGACATGGGAGAATAGCTTCATTACGCCTGAGTAGGGAAGGTTTCTGAAATAAGACAAAAACAACTAACCATACAGGAAGAAATAGGGGGTTTTTAGAAATTTAGATTGCATTAAAACTAAAAACTTCTGTTTATCATCAGAAGCCATTGTGAAAAACAAACTAAGATATGAACAAATATGACCAACCAATGGCTGGATTTTAGAATATAAGAAAGAAAACCCAAAGAAAAAGGTAAAGTAATCAACCCAGCAGAAGAATTGTAGATTTGATTAAAGACCTCTCAAAAGAAAGTATCGAATCCTCAACAAATGTTTAGAACAATAATCTCATTAGTAATCAAGGAAATGCAAATTAAACCACAGTGAATACCACTAAATATTCACCAGAGAGGCTAAAATTAGAAAGTCTGATAAGTGATGAGCAGCTACAGGTGCTCGCACACTGCCTGTGGGTGTCAGAATAGGTAAACAGTTTCATATTATCTAAAGTGGAACAGTTTTTTATTCTTATACCTAACAGAAATTTGTGTGTGTGTGTGTGTGTGTGTATGTGTGTATACACACACATACACACACACACACACACACACACTGAATGGTCATATTATTGATCTCTGAACACATAATAATCTGGCCACTCAGTATATATCCTATATAATAAAAAGGCTAATATGCAAATTGTCCGCTGGACCAGGAGTTCAACCAGCAGGCAGGCCAGCCAACTGCCGATGTCCCCTCCCCCTGGCCAGATTGGCCGGACCCCACCCATGCACGAATTCATGCACCGGACCTTGAAATATCTGAGTGGCCAGATTATTATGCGTATAGAGATCATCATAATATGGCCACTCAGTGTATAGGAAGACATACATAGCAACTTCATTCATAACTTGGCAGGGGCCAGGGGTGACTACCAGTCATAGGATGGGTAAATAAATGGGGGAGTATTTATATAAGGGAATATTGTATAGCTATAACAACAGTGTGAATGCATCTCTTATACACAGGTTGAGCCAAAGAAGCCAGATACACGAAAAATGTATAGAGATCTTTGCTAGTCAAACTAGGAAAACTATAGTTTAGGGATTCATGCCTAGGTGGTAAAATTCTAAAGAAAAGTGATGAACCAGCCATCATAAAGGAGAGAGAGGGTAATGGTTAACTTGTGGGGAGAGAAGGGTGGTGACTGGGGAGGGACATGAGAAGGCTTCTAGAATGCCAGCTCTCCCCCGTTCTTGGTCTGGTGGTAGTTACACAGGAGTTTGTGAGAATTCCTTGCATGGGGCACTTTTCTGTTTGTATATGCATATATGCTATATATAACTTGGAAGAATATGTTTTTAAACTAACTCATAGTACTGGTTCCTATCTTATATTTTAGAAAAGTGTTAACCTTTTTCAGAACTAAACAGCCTAAAAATTTAAGGCACCGTGTCCGAATTCATAGGTGCGTTCCTACTCCCTGTGTTTAGATTGGAGCGGCTGGGCACGGAACAGTGGCCGAGTCACCTCACTCACTCGGGAAGGGCTGGGGCGCTGTTCACATGAGATCACGTTTGAGATGTGCAGGATATGGCCCATGGGGCGGGGGGGATGGCGGCGAGCTGCTTCCTGAGAATCAGAAAGGTAGAGACGGTCAGTGAGCCGATTCTACCAGAGGGTTTGAAAGACCAGTTTAACTCATGACCCTCCCTTTTACAGGAATGGAAAACTGGGAAGAGGAAGGCCGAGAAAGATGAGCTGGTGGGACTTATGATATTTTCCACCATGGAACCGGAGGCCCCTGACCTGGACCTGATAGAAGTGTAAGCGACCTGCCAGATCCGCCTCCTCCTCGGCTATGTGCGCCGCCCGTGCTCCGTGCTCACGGTCCGGCAGGGCGGCGCGGTGGGGCTGGGGCAGGCTCCAGGGGAGGAAAGGAGTGGGCTCGTGTGAAGCACATCCCCCGAGAGCACACGGCAGTCTGCTTCCTTTCTGCCCTCCGCACTGGGCTCGGAGCAGAGGTTGGTGGTGACTCCTAGTGAAGCGCGCGGAAGCAGACGGCTCAGAGCCAGTCACACCCACGCACAGTCCGCAGAGCGGAGTCTGAGCATTGCCTCGAAGGAAGTCATCTCTGGTCTGCTTTATCTGTGCTTTATCTTGTCATCTGCTCTTTAATGTGGGCTTGCTGAGGATTTGCAGTAAAAAAAAAAGTCTTGAGGTTTGTTTTTATTTTAAGAAACCTCTTTCTTATAAAATCATTGCATATGTGTTACCAAAAACATAGACAAGGAAAAAATCGACACACCACCCAGTCTTCCAACTACCCAGAGAGGAAGTCAGTGTTAACATGTCGGCCTATAGTTGTCGTTTCCCAAACCCTCCTTGGTACAAAGGTGTCTAAAGGAAAATTGTTTAAACAGAAATGACCTCACAACGTGCATTCTCTTTTATCATCGTTTTAAAATTTGAGGAGTGTCTCATGTGCTCGCTTTGGCAGCACGTGAACTAACAGTGGAACGACACGGAGATTAGCATGGCCCCTGTGCAAGGACGACACTCACATTGGTGAAGCGTTCCATAATTTTAAAAAAGTATCTGGCGATGATTTTTTTCAGGTTGATAAATACTTTTTGCATCCTTAAGGAATTGATCAGTTCAGAATCACCTTAGAGCAGTGATTTTCCATTTTTTCATCTCATGCACATAAACTAATTACTAAAACCTTGAGGCACACCAAAACACGTTATATTTTTTGCCAAGCTGACAAAAATAAAAAGTAGCTATAATTGTGATTCATCCACACCAAGTGGCTATTGTGTGGGCTGCTGTCAGTTTGTACCTTGGCAGTCTGAGGGGAAGAGGCCAGTGCCCTGACGGAGGGGTCAGGTGCCACACGTTTTACATCCCCGAGGCTCGGGGGAATGGCTGCGTGTGCAGGCTGGTTCTGGGCTCACGGCTGGGAGAAGGAACGCCTGCCATAGCCGCCCCTCTCATGTTTTTCAGGTTCCACGGTACTGCCCACGATGGAATTTCTCTAAAGATATCCAAGAAATGAGGGTTTTATTCACTTTAGAATAGTTTTACTTGCCATTCACAAGGAGTTGAGGGAAGGAGGGAGCAGAGTAAAACAAATGGCACGTTTCTAAGTAGTTCTTTAAAAGCCTGGATCAGGCCTGTTTGTGAGACTGGTTTGCTTAAAGGGCGGTGGTCCTGGTGCAAGGACACAGGCCTGTGGCTGCCTTTGGGGTGAGGCTCCTGGCCACCGAGATGTTTCTCCTCCTGCCCGATGCCGGCATTTTTCCTTGTGTTTGCCCACAGAGAGCAGAAGTGCGACGCTGTTGGAAAATTCACCAAGGCCATGGACGACGGCGTGAAGGAGCTGCTGACGGTGGGGCAGGAGCACTGGAAGCGCTGCACCGGCCGTGAGTGCCCTCCGCGCCGCCCGCCCGCCCAGCTCGCAGGCAGTGAGGCCCGCTCTGCGGCCTGTCACCCGGGGCCACACCCCTGGGGCAGAAGAGCATCTAGTGACCTTAGTCGTGTCCTCCCATAGCTAGCGATGAACCTCACTTCTCCACCCAACTCAGCAGCAGACAGTCGGCTCTCACGAAGCCAGTTCGGGAACTCTTAAAAAAACACCACATTTGCTTAAATACTTCCAGTTACTTGGGGGTTTGTAATCTATGAAAAACTTATCCTTTCTGCGTGCTTAGAGAATGGTTGTAGCTCATTCTTTTAATTTTTCAATCTCCATTGGCCAGGTGTTGATTTGACTAGCACCCTAGTTTTTAGGAAAAACCAATGTGATTGGTAGGAAACATAAGACAGGTTGGGACAGGAGCACTGCTGAGGGGCCAGTGGCACCGCCAGGTATGCTTCCTGCCTGCCGTCCCCATGTCCTCCAGGACGTCTTGTCCCCTCACTTCCCTTTGTTTGCAGACTGTCAGCCTGCTGGGCCGCGTGTGCTGTGTTCCTGAAGCATGAGCTCTGGTGTCGGATTGCCCGGCCCAGACACAGGTGTCCATTGTGGATCCTGCCACAGCCTCCCCCTCCCTCCCTGAGGCTGAGGCTCACCTGTAACATTCACTCAGGTGTCCCACTGCCTCAGGATGGGAGTCTTCTCCTCTTCCATCCATCCTGCCCTCACTGCCAGCACAGCCTCTGAGTCCCGCAGAGAAAGCCCGGTTTCTGAGCTGTAGCTGGGCCTCACCCGTGATTGGCTGGGCTGCTCCGCTGAGAACGAGGTCCTGCTAGTCTGTCACTAAAACCTATAAGAATCCTGGTCATCCCCAGTTATTTTTTTAAAATAAAAATGGCTTGGCTTTTAAGTATAAAAATAACACATGCCCACTTTAACATTATATTAATACTTTGGTGCTCAGCATAGAAAGGAGGTTAAATTATATGTTTTTGTAAAGATTTTTTAAAGATGGAATTTTTCTTCTAAATAATGGAAAAAAATAAATTTGAAGTCCAATAATAGTTTTAATGAACAAGAAACTGAATGTGGAGGGACTTGAGGGTGAAATATTAAAATAACAAAGCCAGTGAGGAGCAATTCTGAGGTCTGTGACCCAGACTTGGAAGGGAGGGGCAAACTGGGACCTGCAGTCCAGTCTGGCGTCCCCCACTTTTGTAGTGAAGTGCTGCGGGAACAGCGTCCCATGTACTTCCGTGTAGCCGTGGCCTCTTGTACATACAGTGCACAGCGGAGGGAGGAGTCGCAGCGGAACCTGTGCCCCACACTGCCTGGAGGACTCACTGTCCAGCCTCCGAGTGGCCCCTGCCATCCACACGGCTTATACCAGCGGATGAGAAAGCTCACATCCTTCCTGCCTGGTCCTGGGGACTCCCTCTGCCTTTTTCTCCACACCTTGTTGCTTTGAGTTTTGTTTTGTTTTGCAAATAATCAATCATACATACATAGCAGAGTGGGGAAAGCCATGTAATTGGAATCAGAAGTGCCACATCCACAGTTCCGTTAGCCATGTGACCCCGAACACGTCACTTTACTGATCTGTGTTCGGGGTCACATGGCTAACCCTCCCTTCCTACCCCATGAAGCGGAGGGGTGTCTGTATTGGGGGAGGGGTCGATGTGATGGAGTGGGTGGCCTGTGTGACAGACAGCATGTGCGCACTAGAATCGTCTTCTAACAGCTGCCCGTCCACGCAGAGTCATTCAGTATATGAGAATGGGCAGTGGTGCTGGTTAACAGCATGCACCACTCATTCAGCAAGTGATTACTTATAAATTGAGAGGATTTGATTGGGGGGGAAAAACAATAAATTAAAAAAACCCTATGATTTTATTATAGCATATAAACTATTTTGAATCACTTCAGATTTCTACTATTATAAAAGTAATCACTTTTAGAAAATAGCTGAGTCCCACTTCAGTCTGCGGGGTGGGCTGGTTGACGATGGATTGCTTTTTCTCTTTCAGCACTACCCAAGGAATACCAGAAGATAGGCAAGGCCCTGCAGAGCTTAGCGGCAGTGTTCAGTTCCAGTGCTTACCAAGGTGGGCTTCACTTACTCACCTTACTCACGTTCGCGTGTTATCCAGACAGCCACCCTGCAGACTCCTGCAGACAGGCCGGAGCGCTGAGCCAGCACCTTGGCATCGACCCAGATTGGCTGGGCTGCTCCGCTCAGGCCTTCTGCAGCCGCACCGTGTGACTTTTGAGAAGAATGGAGGGTTGTTAAGTGTGTTTTCTTGCCAGCTTCTTTGCCAGAAAGCTGCACACTGACTGATAATTCACATCAGGGACAATTGCCTTCACTATAATACGCTATTGTCCTTATTTTTTAGAGTCCTTATCTTCTAAGTAACATTTATGATGACATGTTATGTGGCCAGTGGGAGAGAGGTGGGAGTGAAAAAATATTGCCCATGCACAGTTCATTGGGAGGCTTAGGTGATGGGTAAATGTAGGGATTCATTCCAGTTTTAAAAAGTCTGAAATGTTCTGTCATAAAATTTTTAAATAAAATGAATGAAAAGACATAACTTACAACCACTGGCAACTGTGATGCTTTCAGGTGAAACAGATCTCAACGATGCAATAACAGAAGCAGGCAAGACTTATGAAGAAATTGCCAGTCTCGTGGCAGAGCAGGTATTCACATACCCACACAATTCATGTAATATTTTATGCCATCTAATCTACATGCTTAATTTCAAGTAAGTTTTAAGACAAATGCTCCAATGGTTATCCTCTACTTTTCTACTCCTATTTATCTTTTTAAATTGTATTTGGTAATAGTGCTTCTTAGATTTAGCTGAAGTGATGGATAAAGTTGTCATCAAGAAATTTAAAAGAGCCCTAACCGAGCTGGCTCAGTGGATAGAGCGTCGGCCTGCGGACTAAAGGGTCCCAGGTCAAATCTGGTCAAGGGCATGTACCTTGGTTGCAGGCACATCCTCAGTAGTGAGTGTGCAGAAGGCAGTTGATGGATGTTTCTCTCTCATGGATGTTTCTAACTCTATCCCTCTCTCTTTCTCTCTGTAAAAAAATCAGTAAAATATATTTTTTAATGTTTTTATAAATCTAAAAGAATACCTTCCAGGGTCGAGGGTTGGATCTGTCGTTAGCCGCCAGGGGTCAGTGTGTGCAGGAAGAGCACTGCTCAAGTCCCCTTTGGACTCTCACTTGCCTCGGTTCCCCCTTCGGGAAAGTGGCGGTGGAGGCACCAACCTTGGGAGGAGCTCGCTCACAGGGAGCTCAGGACTCAACGCTAATGAGGCGAAGCTCCCGCTCCAGTCCCAACACCAGCCGTCCTCGTCCTCGGCACAGAGCGGCGTGGACTGGAGTCGCTCCTCTCGCAGATAACTGGAACACGTGCCTCCAAGGACATGGTCATCTAAGTTGTTTCAAATCCCTGAATTTAAACATTTTTTTCAGATAGCTTTTTAACGTGTATATACACAGGTGTCTGTGGACACACACTCATGTCATTAGTTACTCTCTGCTGCCTGTAAAAAAGATTGATTTTTAGAACTGTGCATGACATAGCTATTAAAAAAATCATAATTCAGAAAAATAGAAAATGTTAAAGTTGCCACTTACAATGATTACTAGACTTTCTAATAATATTTTTACATTTTCTGCTAAAATTTAGACATTAAACTCTAACATCTTATTTCCCTGTATGTAAACATATAGTCCTAACATTATTTTCCTCATGATGTTGTATTTTGGACCCAACTACAATATTATCTGATGTGTCATATTTTCTTTACAACCTGTGGTAGAGGATATAGGACTCTGGGGTTATTTTCTTGTAGGAAAACTAAGCTGAATGCGTAAGCACTCAATAACTTGATGAGTACCTGGGGGATTTGGCTAATATTGTCCTCAGCTAGGTGTTTTCTTTTCCTTGTTTGTCCGGATTCCTCTGCTAGTAACAACCAACTTGTGTCTTGTTACAGCCAAAGAAAGACCTCCATTTCCTGATGGAATGTAATCATGAATATAAAGGATTCCTTGGCTGCTTCCCTGACATTATTGGCGCCCACAAGGTAACTGGATCTGGAAGTTGACAGCAGACGGGGGGTGAATGGGGAGCTGCAGGCACCGGCCCCACCTCTCCCCCTCCTGAGGCGGGAAGCTTTCTGGGACCCCCGGAAGTCCTTCGGGCTTAACTAGCAAGGTCCCCATCACATGTTTGGATATAAGAGCAGTTGTTTCTTTTGTTATTAAAAAACAATATTATTTTGAAGGAACTAAACATATGAAATCTTTATGCATGTAGTTAGGTATCTTGATGTTTGAAATCCAAGACAGTAACAGGAATGGTCCTCTCTTACCAGTGAGACCTTGTCAGCTGCTGGGCAAGTGCTCAAAGACCCTGCCCTGGCGCAGGAAATGACCGCAAGTTTTCTAGTTAAAATTCACAGGGTCAGTGTTTGCATTATATGTTTATACATAGTATAAAAAGGAAAGTATATAATTCCCATCAAAAGTATTTTTAAACTAAATTTAAAAATTGACTTAGGGTATACTCAGATTTTGTTTCTGGTTAATTTTTATCTCTTTCAAAATCTGTATTACCTCAAACTTAGGGTATCTTACAGCCGTGGGACTCGGGACACAGTGCTGTGCGGGTTTGTTAGGAAACTACGAAGGCTGGACGGGACCATTTTAGCATTTGGCTTCACTACTATAATTGAAGTAGGAAGAGATTGCATACGTAAATAAGAAGTTGTGTGCAACTTAGGTAACTTAATATAAATCTCAGAGCATTTTCCTGATCCATTCATCCGTTGATGGACACTTAGTTGTTCTGTATCTTGGCTGTTTTAAATCGTGCCCCAGTGACCTGTGAGTGTTGTGTCTCTGGGGGAGTGATTTTGTTTCCTTCAAATATGTAACCAGAACTGCTGGGAGAGTAGATCTTAAATATTAATATAAGGAAAAAGATCTCATCATAAGGAAGAATATGTGTAATTCTGTGAGGGAGATGGATGTTAACTAGACTCACTGTGATGATCACTTCAGATAGACACATGTAACAGGTCATTGTGTTGCACATCTTAAGCTAATGCAATGCTGCGTGTCATTGCATTCCAGTAAAACTGAAGAAAAGTAAAATTACAATCTCAGTAAATAACTCAGGTCCGTTAGCTTGTTGGAGGATGTATCCCACTGAGTGAGAGTTCTAGGCACGAAGCCGAATTTACCCGTGAGCGAGGAGGTCTTTCCAGGCGGCTCTGAGTAACGCGCGCCGTGAGGTGTTCAGCAGCTTCTTCGGCTCCTTCCATCGGATATTAATTTAAAATGGACTCAGTGCTCGCTTAGCACCAGCCCGTCAGTCCTCCCCTGAGCGCAGGGAGCGCTGTGCATGCACCCCAAGCCCGTCCTCCCCGAGTGCCCAGGCACCCTGCCTCCTGCTGGGCGCTGCCTGACCTGCGGTGGCCCACGGAGGCTCCGGAAATGAGTGCTCCGGGCTTCCTGCTTGCCCGCAGCATAAAACCCAGTCACAGCTCAGTGACACCTTCCACGAACAGTTACCGTGGCTTGCAGGTGACTTGAAGGAGTCGTGTGTAGTGCTTTCCTATGTCACCTTGTAGCAACCTTGTCCAGTTCAACATTAAGTCATTCATTGTAAAAGAAGTGGTTGCTTGGTTATATTTTAAACTGAGGACTGATGCTTTCAGCTTTGTTTTACTGATGCCATTTCACTTCTCTGTTTCACAGGCAGCAATAGAAAAAGTGAAAGAAAGTGATAAACTGGTTGCAACTAGCAAGATCAGCCCCCAGGACAAACAGAACATGGTGAAGCGCGTCGGCACCATGTCTTACGCGTTGCAAGGTGAGGAGTCTGAGCAGGGGGCTGGTTTCCCAGCAGAGCTGCTGTTTCCGGGTTTCTCCGGAGAGAAACCCAATGGGAACCGCGGTGAAGTCAGGCTGGTTTGGAACATCCTCATAAGCCACTTGGTCACAGGACCCCAGTGTTGATGAAAACTGACGTGGCTATGAGTGACGGTTTGATTAAACTTGCACATTTTTATTCTATCTTAGGGTCATTGAAGGTGCCTTTTCCAGCCTTAAAATCAGCACCTTCCTAATGCTCTGTCCAATTCCCACGCTCAGCTGTTAGCAGCCTGGAGCCTCCGTGGCCGAGGACCATGGTGTGTAAAGGCATTTGGAGGTAGCAGTTGGGCACAGTGGACTCTTAGTGAAAGGAAGAGTTCACTGCTTTTTACGTGGTTGAGTGTTCTCCTAGGAGCAGGAAACAGGTTTGTCCTGTTTGGTGGACAGATAGAATATTCATGGGAAAGGAGGAGACACGGATGCTCTAGCATAGGGGTGTCGAACTCAATCAGAGAAGGGGCCAAAATCTAAAATCCAGCCTAAATCGCGGGCCGAATGGTTTACTGAACAGTCATAAACTGTCATTGTGATGGAAACGCAGCAGAGTGCAGTGATGACAGCGCGGTGCGGGCCACATTGCAAGGCCTGGCAGGACGGATTTGGCCCGCGGGCCTCGTGTTTGACACATGTGCGTCTAGCACAAACAGAAGCGTACACAATAGTGCGCAATGATGCCCTCGGCCTTTGGGGCTAAAACATATTTGTAGGTGATTGGGGAATGAGCGTTGGTGATTGTGGAGAGCCTTGAAAGCCAGGCAGAGGAGTCTGGACTGGGTGTGGGCAATACAAAGCCATGAAAAGGTTTTGAGAGAAAAAGTGCTCACAGGAGAAGAAGGGCTTGCTGGTGACGTGTACACCTTGGAGGGCAGCATTGGCTCGACCACGGCCGGAGACCACGGCTTGTGGGTGAAGTTGGAGGACCCGAGGAAGGTGTGCCGGGGCGGGGACAGCACCGCCGGCCGGCCCTCCAAGGGGCACTCGGGGCGAGGGGTTCGTGGGAGGAGGTGTAGGAGAGATTGCCAGCTCTGGGCAGCCAGAGCGGAGATGGGAAGCCGCCCTGCAGATTTGGGTGCTCAGGGGTTTGAAATAGGGAATTTGGTGTTGTACTTGTCTTTGAGCTTATCCAATAGATAAACGAAGAGCTTCAGATAGCATAGAGGTCAGAACAGGCAGCTTTTTGTAGGCGTTGATGCCAGCAGTTGGCTCTCTGGGCCGGGAGTGGAAGGGAAAGGCGAGCAGCAGCTGTGGTGAGGAAGCCTCGGTGGCGGCAGTGGTGGCAGTGGGGGGAGGGGTGGTGCCGAGAGACTCGTTGTGAGGAGGGGACAGCGGTGCGCGGGCAGTGACGCCCCATTAAGGATCAGGTGCAGAGGGCCCATCGGTGCCTGGCTAGGTCCCCGTAAACACACCTGACCTTCGCAACTGCAGGCACCTGCAGAGAATACACAAATCAACAGAGTCCTCCGTCTCCTCGGAAGTGTTTGCCTTGGCTGTCCAGTGGTTTTTCTAGTCTCTGTAAAGGGAGCTGGCACTGCGCTGAGAACCTGGCTGGCGAGGAGCCCAGCGGAGCAGAGAGGCCAGGCCCGTGTGCAGTCGGGGACTGACTGGTGTGCTGGTTTTGGTTGTAGCGGAGATGAATCACTTCCACAGTAACCGGATCTATGACTACAACAGCGTCATCCGTCTGTACCTGGAGCAGCAGGTACAGTTCTATGAAACGGTAAGTCACCCTCTCACCCCACTGTCTGTGCAGAGGTCACTCACTCTGCATTAAGTTAATCTGCTTGTATTTTTTAATCCTAAGTATTAAACCCAAAGAGGCTAAATATTTCCTAGGGTTTAGTTTAATCTTTTAATTACCCCTGCCTTTCCGGTTTTAGTAACACTGGTTAATATAAAGGTTTTCTTTTGAAGAAGGGGGAACGGGTGCCAGCGGGGAGGTGCCGAGAAGACCCTATTGTGTGGTCCTTCCCTCCCTCACTGCCTCTCTGTGCGCAGGGAACACTGCTGAATGGATGAGGTCACCCTGCCGCCCAGTGGGCTCAGCCGGGGAAGGAGCCTGGCACCACTCGGGCACCACAGGCGGCCTCTGTTTGTGACTGAGGTCTCAGTGCACCAGGGGACCACAGAGAGGAAATTAAAGAGAGCGAGGCCGTAACTACTTCATTCAGAAACCAGTGAGAGCGCAGTTTTGTACTCTCTGACCCATTGTTCACCAGAGAGCCAGGCTCCCGCATGGAAACGAGAAGTCGGCCACCTGAAGACAAGCACTGCCACTTTATCATTGTCCGTGTGCCGGCCGCCATGTTCTCAGTCTTCCACCGTTCCACGGTGTCATGTCAGGTTGTCCAGGGCTTTAGTAGGCAGGCTCCAAGCTCAATCCATGCGTGTGTGGTCTTTGGACTAGACACCGCCCAGAAGTATATTACTTACATATGCACATACACATACACATACACATATACATACACATACACATACACATACATTTACATACATACAAACACATTAGAGCGTGCGGTGATTGTCCTTCAATCCAGCCTGCACCCCCTCGAGGAATGTCCGACTGCCCATTTAGGCCCGATCCCTCCTAAACGGGCAGTCAGACATACCTCTCACAATCCAGGACTGCTGATTCCCAACTGCTCACCTGCCTGCCTTCCTGATTGCCCCTAACCTCTTCTGCCTGCCAGCCTGATCACCCCCTAACCACTCCCATGCCAGCCTGATTGATGTCTAACTGCTCCCCTGCCAGCCCGTTTGCCTCCAGCTTCCCTCCTCTGCCGGCCTGGTCACCCCTAACTGCCCTCCCCTGCTGGATTGATCGCCTTCAATTGCCCTCCCTTGCAGGCCTGGTCCCTCCCAACTGCCCTTCCCTGCTAGCCATCTTGTGTCCACATAGGGGCAAGATCTTTGACCACATGGGGGCAGCCATATTGTGTGTTGGAGTGATGGTCAATTTGCATATTATCCTTTTATTAGATAGGATGGAGGCCTAGTGCATGGGTGGGGGCCAGCTGGTTTGCCCTGAAGGGTGTCCCGGATCAGGATAGGGGTTTCCTTGGGGTGTGGAGTGGCCTGGGAGAGGGGCCAGTGGTGGTTTACAGGCCGGCCACATCCCCTGGTGACCCAAGCAGAGGCCCTGTTATCTGGGTTTATTTATCTGATACAATTGAAACTTTGTAGCCTGGAGCAGAGCCAAGCCTCCTGCTCGCTCAGTGGCGGCAGCCTTTTCTGTTGGAATTTATGTATCTTCTATAATTGAAACTTTATAGTCTGGAGTGAAGGCCTGAGCCGGCCAGGGCTGCTGAAGCTTGGCTTCCTCCATTGTGCGGGAAAACCCTAGCCTCCTGCTTTTCCAGCTCATGGCTGCTGCCATTTCTGTTGGAATTTATTACCTTCTATAATTAAAGCTTTGTACCCTTGAGTGGAGGCCTGGGCCCACCAGGGTGTGTGGAAAGCTTGGCTTCCTCCATTGCTGGGGAAATCCAAGCCTCCCTCCTGCTCTTTGTGGCGGCAGCCATGTTGGTTGGAGTTAATTTGCATGCTCGCTCTGATTGGCTGGTGAGTGTAGTGGAGTGATGGTTAATTTTGCATATTACTCTTTTATTAGGTAGGATACACAACACACACATATACACATGTATATATATATACATATACATATATATACAATATAAAAGAAACTTTATTAAGTCTAACATAGTTATTAAAATGTGCATATTTGTTCACGAAGCAACCATTTCTTCAGTGTTATACTTACTGCAAATGCTCAGGGTCCCAGGATGACTGAAACCTCTGTCTTCAGGAGTGTGTGTCCTTGGGGGAGACATAGGCATGCCATCCCTGAGGGATAGCAGTGGCTTTCTGTTGAAGGTGGTAGCAGAGGGGTGCGAGCACGTGGAGAGCCCCTTGGCTAGGTCTTAGGAGCTCAGAGGTGGAGGGATCCTGGGGCCTCACTGGAAGGGAAGGGGATGGAGGTAGGGAGGCTCTCGGAGGAGCATCCACTTCCCTGGGAGCATCTGGTCCGCCTCTGAGAAGGTCTCTCCCACACCAGCGGGGGAGAGCCTGGGTGCATAGACCCAAGAGGCTGGAATTGTTACAGTGTTAACTCAGAGGAGCTGGAAATAATGGGTCCCTGTGCAGCTGTGTGGCCGTGCTATCTCAGACCTTCTCTTTCCACCAGATTGCAGAAAAGCTGAGGCAGGCCCTCGGCCGCTTCCCAGTGATGTAGGCGGAGCGGAGCAGGAAGAAACTCCCAGTGCGTCCCCGACCTGGGGCATGCAGTCCAACCCCCTCACCCCGACTCGGCCCGAGAGAAAGAGTGCAAGACTACACCGACTTCTGACCTCAGGCGTCAGGCCTATGCCTTCTCTTCATTTCTACAGCCATTGTTTAAACCGCTGGAGATTGTCTCTATTTTTGGAAAGTATTTAAAATTACCAGAACTTTGAATGGAAAATTAGAGGTTTCCCCACTTATATTTTACATAAATTTGTAATTTTTAAGCCCACAATCGTCCAGTTCTTACCCAAGGCCAGATGGTTACTAATTGCTTTCTTAAAAATATGGAATATGCCAGAATAAAAAAAATATGTATATATTTTTATAATTCTTTTCAATGCCTTGGAACTCCTGTCTGTTTAGGAAGATCCACATGCCTTTCACTGACAGATTCATGCCTCAGTGCTGGCGTTTTCAGGAAAGGAGGCCGAGGGGCTGTGGGGCCGCGGGCTGGCAGGCTGTGCCTGTGGCGATGCCGCCCCCAGCAGGAGGGCGTTCTCTCCTGCACGACCTTCCTCAGCAGGCCCAGCTCCACTCGGGGAAGACACGTGGGGCCCATTGGGGGCGTTCCCCAGGGCTCTGACTGCTGACCCCTGCGCTGACCCCTGCGCCCCTCCTGGTCAGGGGCGAGACACACCCATCCTCGGGCTTCTTGCTGCCCAGTCAGACGTGATGAGAAGTGAGAGAGGACTGGCCACTTACTTGGTTTGGGTGCAGACGGTGGGCCAGTTGGTATTACCGGACAGATGAAAACAGTTACCTGGCCGCCCCCTCCCCCCAAGTGGGGGAAAAGCTTAGCGGCTGCGAGGGTGGCAGCCTGGTCACTGGCACTTCAGTGCCCGGCATAAGCCAAGCAGAGCCACAGACATCCCTGCGGGTCTGAGCGCGCACACTGTCTTCCTGCGGACGCGTCCCGTCTGCCCTCTTGCCTTACTCACTCCGTGATCTCTGCACGGCTCTCGCTCTGTCCTAACCACGCTGTTACAGAAAATGGACTGTCGGGCTGCATGAATGAAATGAAACCAAAAAATAAGAGGAAATCAGATGGACATGAATGAGAACTTCTTGTTCTTTAGTGTCACGGGTTTTTGTTAATGTTTTATAAGTAATTTCCCTTGATTTTTCTTTTATAAGATCTCATAGAACAGTGTTTATGATATAGCCATTTAATATATGTACAAATTGTAAAGAATATGTATAAATGTTTTACACAAATGTAGAGCATGTAGAAACAAACATATAAATAAATTGTTTAAAAAACCTGTACAGTAAATTCTCAAACCATTTTTCAAAACACTTTCTGGTGTTATTGTGTGATTTTTTAAAAATGGCTTCTTGTGGCCATCTGCTGAGAACATGGTGCCCCAGGGGAGGCGGGAAGGAAGGGGTGGGCCGGGCATTTAAGCCACTTCTTCACGGAACCTGGGCAGCCTTCATGGCCCGCTGGGCAATCACAGGTGCCCCACGTCCATCCGCCACACGTCCATCCACCAACCCCGCTGCTGCTCCGGGCACCTTTCTCCTGGAGCTGAGCTGAAGAGCCGATGTGACCCAGGCAAATACAACATCCTCTTCTTACTACTTACCCTCGCGGATCTCAAACTGACCAGCAGCAGAGATGGACTCCCTCAGCAGCCATCGAGTGAGGTGAGGCTGGACACGGTCGCCTGGCAGGGCAGAGCTCCAGGCCAGCCCAGCTCCGGGGGAGGACAGCTGGGTGTGCATGGTCAGCGGCTCCCTCGGGCTGCAGACCAGAGGAAGGGCCTGCACCCTGCTAACGATGCCTGTCCCAAGCCCTGCCCCGGAATGTGATGGGATGTCTGCTCCTTGGCTAGTGGCTGCCAAGCCTCAGGCCTGTTGGTTTCTGGGGGTTCAGTCCCTGTGCTTACGTGGTTTCCTCTGATGAGTGCATGGAACCATGTTCAGCCAGTGTTCCTAGAGGACACCCGGCAGATCTGAACTGTGTCCATGTGTCTCTCTCACATCTGATCTCTCCTTCTCTCCTGTGCACTCCGCGGCAAATCCTACCCGCTGTGCTCACCCTAAACGCTTATCTCTGTCTGCTGGAGGACTAAGAACAGTGCCTGCCAGGTATTAGGTACTGGAATCCTTACTAAACACAACAATGAAAATAAAGAGAAGGGGACCATTTTCCACCCTACCCCAATGGTTGATGAGGGGCAGCACCTGTTAATCTGTTTTCCCATATAGAAGTTTTCCTTTGCAGTCACTCTAAGTTGACCCCACAATTGCATCGTGGGTACAGGGTTCCTGCCCACAGGTCTGCATAGCTAGTCTCTCCTGTTGGTCACAGCTTCCATAACCCGGGGCTGTCACAGCTCACAAGTGAACGCCGGTGCAGTGCTTGGACTGGACTATAGACTTGTGTTCCCTTGTCTTTCACTAATAGCCCTTTTCTTTCTATGGGAGGATCTAACCCGGTACCCCACACTGCGTTAAGCCCCCTCTGTGCAGTGTCTCTCAGTGGTCCTTGTTTGGAATGACGTTGACTAGCTGGGAGGGTGCTGTGTGGAGAGGGGCCACAGCATCTGCACAGGTTCAAGACTGGGACTAATGAGAAGACCCAGTCCTCTGGTGGCCACGTGCAAGTCCCAGCTTGGAGGGCAGAGCCTCCCGGCACAGTGACAGCCAACGGCGAGAGGTGTCGGCTTGAACCTGTGATACTTTTATATGGAAAAACTCAGCAGGGCTAAGAATGTCCGACTGACGGCTTAGGCCCCCTCCCCGCTGGGCCTAAGCCATCAGTTGGACATCCCCGAGGGCTCCCAGACTGCAAGGGAGTGCAGGTCGGGCTGAGGAACCCTCCTCCAGTGCACGAATTTCCATGCACGGGCCTCTAGTTAAAAAATAAACTGTATGTAGCGAACTCTTGTTGGGTAGTGGTAATTCTCGTGCATTCCTGCACCTGTGTAAATTGGCTAACATCAACTTAAACCAAAAAAAAAAAGGAAGAGGCTCAGCTGAGAACACTGAGCCAACACCCAGGAGAGGGGGGCCTGGCGAGCTGCTGGCGCCACAGCCAGCTCCTGCCACGTGGAGCCCGGCCTGGAGCCGGAGCAGCCTGTCCGGACAGCTGGGGTCCCTCCCGCTGCTGAGTCAGCGGGTGCGTTCCCCTGGGCCCCCAACCGGTGGGTCTGGACATCCGCTGCCTGGGCGAAGCAGGAGCATTTGGCAGTGTGCCCTCTGGAAAACCATCAACCCACAGAGGAAGCACAGCAAACAAATGTTTACCGCGGTGGGCCGTTTTTGTGAGCTTGCGTCCTCCTGTGGGTGTGTTTAATGCCTTCCAGATGGGCCACACCATCGCCGTTCGGGAGGCCGGTTCTCCCTCAGCGCACACCCAGGCAGGAGGGAACGCCGGGGAGCGTGGATGGGGACTCCGTGACCCACCCGCGAGGGAAACGTTCTCCTCGGGCTGAGGGGGGGGGATGCGTGCTTCACCCCCCACCCCTCCCTTTGCAGCTGTTAGCTGTGCGTGTCCTGGGAAATGTGTTTGCCGTTAAGATCACGTCCCCAGCCCCTCCTCAGAGGGATCCTGTCCTCAGCTGCTGCTCACTCGCCTCTGAAACAGGAATTCTTGGCCAGGGTCCCGGCAGCACTGGTGTGTGTGTCAGTGAGTCACATGCGACTTCAGGCCAATGACTCGTGTGTGTATTTTACAGTTTCTCTGGGGAAAGGGTATCTGCCGTCCCCCTCTTACAGGTCCGGGGCCTCAGAGGGGGTTCCTCACCCGCCCAGACTGCCGTCTCTCCTTTCACCACTGGCATCCTGCTCTTTCTCTGGTGATTGCTTCTCTTTCTTTGGAGCATCTGACCACAGGGATGTCCTGAGAGGTGGGTTGGGGGAGGGTAGGTGGCGGATTTCACAAGTGGATGCGAAGTCAGTCTCCAGCTGACGGCCCAGCTCAGCCGTCTGGAGGAGACCCAGAGCTTTAGTCGGTGTGGTCACTGCCACAAGCACCTGGGGCTCTTCCCGCTCGGAACAGCTGCGGGAAGGACAGCCCCGGAGCTCTGCTCACCCAGAGGGGTGAGGAGGAAGGGAAGGGGGTTGGGGGTCTGGGGGAGAGGGGGGAGCTGGGCCTGGAGGAGAAAGGGATGTCCTTCTTCTGAAAGGCCCGTTTCCCTCCAGAGCTGAGGCCCTGTGGCTCCGGGGGAGTCTGGCCTGGGGGAGGGAGGTTCTGGACAGAGTGGGCGAGTGATTAAGAGTGAAGGGAGAGGGCAGAGAGAGTGGTGTGTGCTCTCACCACTTCCGGGAGAGTGCTGGCCCTGAGAGGCGGGAGGCTTATGCCGCTGATCAGGAGCCGGCCTTCCGGAGGTGGAGAAAGCTGGCGGAGTCAGCCCGATGGTCCACAGAAAGGCGTGCGGGCGGTCTGCTGCGTGCCCGCAGGAAGGAATTCGTGTGGAAACTTCTCTGTCACGGACGCTGCTGGCTGGAGGCGGCTGGTCGCGGGTTTTTAACGCACAAAGCCCTTTCTCTTACATCATCCTTAAAACACAAGTGCGGGTGTTTTACAGGCCAACCCGTCCCCCCTGAGAGACACTCCTGCCCGCCCGGAGGAGGCCGAGTGAGGGCCGCGGCAGCCCCTTTGCTTGCCAAACCCCGGCAGGTCACTTTTTAGTTATTTTCGTGACGTCTCACGTGGATGTAGCTCAGTTTTGAGATTAAAAGAGTCACACAGCTTGAGATCGGCGAGAAAGCTGTGGTATTCTTACAGCTGCTGCGGCGTTTGCTCTCAGTCCACCGCCTCCTCTCCCTGTGGCTGTGTTGTGGCCAGGAGGGGCACGGAGCCTGGGCACCGGGGCAAAGAGGCACGTGTGAGGGCTGGGGGTCTCCAGCTCTGAGCTTCAGGCCAGGGGGTGGGGGAGAGGATGGTGGAGGGGGCAGGGGGGGCGGTGGAGGGGGCGGCAGAGGGGGTGGTGGGGGCGATGGAGGTGGAGGTGGTGGGGGCAGTGGAGGGGGCGGGGGTGTGGGCAGGGTGGTTTCACTGGGGTCAGGCTCCTGCGCAGTTCTGAGAGGTCACAATCCTGCGGGCTCTGCTGCTTCAGGTGGGTGGTGAGAAAGTCAAGTGAGCCTGTCCATCCCCAGTGATGTCACCCGAGGCCCTAAGTCCAGTCACGTGTGTGTGTGTGTGTGTGTGTGTGTGTGTGTGTGTGTGTAACGCCCCTAACAGTGCCAGGGCGCCCGCCATCTTGCAGAGGGGCTTCACGTAAGTTCCTGATCTCTGAGAAGCCCCAGTGAGGGGTGATGTGGGTGGAGGGAGGGTCCCCTCTCTCCCATGGGGCCCTGCTGGGAACGCCCAGGAGGGAGGGAGACGGGTGGTGGGGGACAGGGGGAGAGAGGAGGAACTAAGTCTTTGGGAGGGAGGAGGGACAGGGTCCCAGCACGTGGGAGGGAGCAGGCACTGGGGGAAGCAGAGGCCCGGAGACCTGGTGCCGGTCTTCCTGCCGTCAGATGACGAGCCGAACCCACACTGTCCGGGAGTCACCGGCAGGTAAGCTCGAGGTTCAGATTCCCAGCTGCTTAACACCCGGCTGTGGTCCTGAGAGTCCTTTCCCACTAAAACCATCAGGACTTCTTGGAGAAACAATTCACTGCAGGCTGAGGAGCAGAACATGTGCCAGAGGAGCCTGCTGCTGCCGCACCGGAAGGCAAGGAGTCGTCAGAGACCACGGGGGCCGCGTCACGTGGGAGCACCGAGCATAGGCAAGGCCCGTGGTCGGCAAACTGCGGCTTGCAAGCCCCATGCGGCTCTCTGGCCCCTTGAGAGTGGCTCTTCCACAAAATACCACGGCCTGGGCATGTCTATTTTGAAGAAGTGGCGTTAGAAGAAGTTTAAGTTTAAAAAATGTGGCTCTCCAAAGAAATGTCAATCGTTGCACTATTGATATTTGGCTCTGTGGGCTGATGAGTTTGCCGCCCTGGAGGGGGACACAGCAGATGTGCTTCCGCTCAGCTAGCCAACTGGTCGCCGTCGGAGGGAGTCAGAGAACAATCACTGAGGTGGAAACAGCCCTTGTTTGAACACGAGCAAATGAAGGAACAGAACCCTCCCCACAGGTTCTGTGTGTTGCTCTCGGGAGGTGGGGAGTTTGAGTTCCCGGGGAAGGAGTGACGGACAGGCGGAGCTGTGGGAGGACGGCGGCAGCATGGGTGACGGTGGCTGCTGCATGGCCAGGGGACATCAGAGGCATACGCACCTCGGGACACGCTCAGCAAACGCCGTGGCTGAGGCATGTGGCACGCAACTAGTTTTCCACAAGCAGATGGCCGAGGAAACAGAGATGGAGGAAACCTGCCTATGAAAAGGGGCTGAAACAGGTTTGGCTCAATGGATAGAGCGTCGGCCTGCGGACTGAAAGGTCCCAGGTTCGATTCCCAGTTAAGGGCATGTACCTTGGTTGCGGGCACATCCCCAGTGGGGAGTGTGCAGGAGGCGGCTGATCAATGATTCTCATCAATGTTTCTAAACTCTCCCGTCCTCTCTGTAAAAAAACAATAAAATATATTTTAAAAAGGAGAAAAGGGGCTGACTGTGTGAATCACAAACTGTGGGAAGCACCTTATGACAGTTATGTGAGCACTCATTGGATATCTGATGATATTAATAGTTATTGTTGAGATGCTATTAAATCATGAATAAGGACACCAGTGTGTGGGGCTCCGCTTTTCTCAGCTTCTGGGTCGCCCTGGGCCGGCCAGTCCTCAGTGGGCCGGCTCCGTTAGGTGCTGGTGTCTGTGCAGGTGAGCTGTGCCTCTGCCCTGAAGTCGGATGGGGTAGGGGGTTAGTTAACAGAGGGGGGCAGTGTTGGCAAGGTGGAGGGGAAGGCCCTCCTCCTGCACCTCCCAGTAGTGCCTGCTCCTTACCCTGAGCTTTCAGTCCCTAACTCCTCTGACTGCCCCCCTCCCAAGCCCCTGCACCCACCCTGGAAGGGGTGGGATGGGAGGGCAGGTCCTGGGAGGTGCGGAAGGCAGGCGGGAGGTCAAGCTCACATATTGGCAGGCCTAGAGACAGACCTCAGTCCCTCCAGGACAGCACCCGTGACCTCCCTGGGAAGGAGCACAGGCAGCGTGTCCATCGGGGTCCGCTCACCGCGCAGCCTCACCCGGCCCAGCGGGCAGGTTCCGGTGAACCGCTTCCCCGCGGGCAGCTGAGGCAGAGCGGCCGCAGGGAGCCGGGGCCGCCGCCCGAGGGGAGGACAGGGAGGCGCAGCCGGGGCTCCCGCCGCAGCGCCCGCCGGGCTGCCCATAAAAGGCCGCGGGATCGACGTCCGCTCCTCCGGCCCCGGCGCCCAGGAATGTACGGAATCTCCCTCCGCCGCCCCGTGGGAGCCCCACCCCCCACCCCCCGCGACCGCTCTGATCGCCCCGATCCCGATCCCGCCTGGGGCCGGCCTCCCGCCGAGGGGGCGGGGAGCGCAGCGCCGGCGAGCGGGGCCGGAGGCGGCGGCGCCGCGCCCCTCACCTGCCCGGCGGCCGGGGACGGGGCGGGGCGGAGCCTGTGAGGCGGGGCGGAGCCTGCTGGCGGGGCGAGACCTGCGGGACGGGGCCTGTGGGCGGTGGGCGGGGCCTGGGGCGGGGCCGGAGACGGCGGCGGCCGCGCCCCTCACCTGCCCGGCGGCCGGGGACGGGGCGGGGGCGGGGCCTGAGATGCGGGGCGGGGCCGGCGGGGCTGGGGGCGGGGCCAGGGGCCGGAGGCGGCCGCGCCCCTCACCTGCCAAGCTGCCGGGGGCGGGGTGGGGCGGGGCCTGCGGGGGAGGGGCGGGGCCTGCGGGGCTGGGAGGCGGAGGCGGAATCTGAGGGGCGGGGTCTGTTTGAGGGGCGGAGCCGGAGGGGCGGGCAGTGGGCGGAGCCTGTTGGCGGGGCGGAGCCTGCTGGCGGGGGCGGGAGCTCCTCGAAGTGAAACTCCCGCAAGTGGCAGCGGGGCGGGCGGGCGCGTGGCGGCCCGGCGGGCGGGCGGGCGGCAGCGGCGGCGGCGCCATGGCCCTGAGCAAGGGGCTGCGGCTGCTCGGGCGGCCCGAGGCGGGGGGCAGCGTCCTGCTGGAGGCGCGCGGCCGCGGGGACGGGCTGCTCTTCGAAGCCGGCACGGTGGCCACGCTCGGTGAGTGCCCGCGGGGCCGGGCCGGGCCGGGCGCCCCCTCTCCCGCCGGCGGGTGGGCGCCCCGCACCTGCGGAGGCTGGGAGACCCGGGCCTCCCCGTGACCCGCCCGCAGGCATCGGTGGGGGGGGACTGGCGGGTTTGAATGGCGGGCGCGGGGGCGGGGACGGGACGCCGGACACTGCTGGCCGGGCCGTGCCCTCGGCGCCTCGGGAGCCGCAGCCGGCCCGGTGCGCTCCGGCGCGGGTTCGGTTCCGGGAAAGCCGCCGGCCTTGGCCGCCCCGCGCCGGCCTGGGTGCGGGCTCCCGGGGTCCGCGGGGCCAGGTGCCCGGCGGTGAAACCCTTGGTTTGTGATCCAGCTTCACTCCCGGGGCTGGGACCATCCCCGTGACACAGACGGAGCAGCCCGGGCCGCCTCTGAGCCGCTGGGCGCAGCGGGGTGGGCTCCGCTCCTGGGGACCCCATGAGGGAGTCCGCCTGCCCCCCTCACCCGCTCCGCTCCGGGGCCATCCCAGTGGCCTCCTCCCGGTCTGCCTCCGGCCCGCCGCTGGCGCCTTGGGCGGGGAGGCGGCAGTGCTGCCAGGCCCGGCACGGGGAGGCAGGCCCACCCCTGATGCCACCTCTCCTGGGGGTGTTTTAGAGGCAGAGGCCGGGCTGGTGTGTGACAGACAGAGGGCTCCAGGAAGTCTTAGCCTCGCACTGTGCCAAGGACGTTAGAGCCCATCCGGTCTCTGAACAAAAGAGCCGTCATTACCCCCGTGTTACAGATGCGTAAACTGAGGCTAAGACGCCTGCCTGCCCGAGTGGCAGGTCTGTACCTGACTCCGCGTGGCCATTCCGGGCTCACGGGCCCTGGTGCCTTGCTCTGCGGGAGGCTGGGTAGCGCCAAAGAGGGAGGACAGGTAGGGCTGTTCAGCTGTGAACTGGGAAGCTGGAGCCCAGGCTCCCGCTGACTTCCAGCTGTTCCACCTCCCCTGGTTCGTAGCTGGACAGGGTGGCCGCCAGCCCCTGAGGTGGCGGGTGGCCAGTGCCCTGGCTTCCGTGGTACTTTATAAAGTCTCCAGTCTTTTCTTCACATTTGCGGGCATCGGTGCTTCCGTTAGGGTCCGCGTCTTGGAAGGACTGTCTCATCTGGTCCCGCCTCCCCAGTGCCTTCATCAGCAGAGTTATGGGCTTGTTTTCCATCGCTCCAGTTTTGTCAGAACCATACATGTGCAGCGATTAAACCTGGTGGATTAAACTCTGACCAGGTTACTCCGGTTTGTGCTCGGTCCTGAAAAGTCCAAGTTTGGTCATTGGCGAAGGTCTTGTGCGAAAACCACAGAAATTTCCGTTCCATGTTAGATGTCCACTTCACGCCGCATTTGTCAGAGGCGAGAGATTAAAGTCATGGTACGACACTGCTGCCTCGTCAGCGAGATTAAAACGTCCTGTGGTCGAATGACACCCCTGAGCTACAGGCAGACGCGTTTGAGTTCCTCTGAAGCCCCTCGGGGAAGATGGACTTTATTTTTTCCAAAGTGAAGATTTAAAAATGATGAATGGAAGTAATGTGCATACTTCCCGCTTGGAAATTAAATTGGGGCTGACATACATGTGCAGGTTGTCCCTCCAAAATGTATATACACCTTAGCAGCCGGTAGCTCAATTTAGAAAATGAAATGCATTTTAATAAACATGCCTGTATGATTATCCAGTGTTTATTATTTTAATAAACACTGCCTGTATGATTATCCAGTGTTTATTATTTTAATAAACACTGCCTGTATGATTATGCGTCTACACTTCGGGGGACACCCTATGCGTTACGTTGGTGACTACAGTACAGGGGGTTCTGGAACCGGGAGTGTGATGAAGGGAATGGCATGTCCCGGACTCTGGTGCCGCCCCCATTTGTCACTTACCCTTGCATTCATGTTTCTGCAGACCTTGGCCTGAATACTGACTTTTTAAAGTCTGTTTTTCTTAAATTAAGTGCAACTGTTTTTTTAAAAAGCAGCATAGAGTCTGGCTGGTGTGGCTCAGTGGTTGAGCGTCAACCTATGAACCAGGAGGTCACAGTTTGATACCTGGTCAGGGCACGTGTCCGGGTTGTGGGCTCGATCCCCCAGTAGGAGGCATGCAGGAGGCAGCTGGCCAATGATTCTCATCATTAATGTTTCTCTCTCTCTCCCTCTCCCTCTCTCTAAAGTCAATAAAAACATATTTAAAGTTTTAATTAAAAAAAATGATAAATGCAGTGCGGCATTTGGAGGTATTGCTGGTCCTCGGGACGGTGAGAGCCCCCTTTGCTCAGACTTTAAGGGATCCTAACCATGCCCCGAGCAGCCAGAATGGCTCTCAACTAGAAACTTCTACCTGTGCTCCTAGCTTGTTGGCTCTCCTTTCCCTGACGAGGTGAAGAATGCCTTCGTTTGTTTCCCTCAGAAGGCTGCCCTGTCTGCTCGTGTGCGGGGCGGCACACCTGGCAGCTGGCAGCGAGGGCGGCGGGACCCTGCCCACCACCCTCCATGAGGCGCAGGGCTGGGGCCGCTTCCTTCCTCACTCCAGCTGTGGCTCCCTGTGAGGGGTCTGCCCCGTGGGCGTGAGAGGCCAGGGGGCCGGGAGTGGGGGCTTATTCCTATGTGGGTAGTGATTCTTGTGGCCACAGGGTGGCCCTGGCTCAGCTCTGGCCGATGCTGCTGCTGCTGCTGCTCTCCTGGGGAGCTGCAGGCGGGCTGGGGGGGCAAGGAAGGGGGGGCAGGGGAGCTGCCAGCCACCCGTAAGCACAGCTCTTCCAAGCACACCGAACCCCAAAAGCACCCTATCTCGGAAGGCCTCTCTGTGGAAGGGGCTCAGGGCTGCTCAGTGTTTCCAGGCAGGGCTGGAGACAGCGGCTGCTTGAACTGGGCTGTGCATTTAGGAAAAATTGATAATGACCCTCGGACGGTGGATTGCTGGGCCCAGCCCTCTGTTCCAACATGACCACAGGGAGCTGGCAGCAGCAGGGGTCTGGCGGCCCCAGGGGTCTGGCGGCCGGAGGGGGCCGCCGAACGCACACGCCCCAGCTCCCGCTTCTGCAGGAATCCTCGGACCCTGTCTGCAGTGTGGGTCCCTGAGAACGGGAATCCCAGGGGCAGGAAAGCCTGCAGGAATCCTCGGACCCTGTCTGCAGTGTGGGTCCCTGAGAACGGGAATCCCAGGGGCAGGAAAGCCTGCAGGAATCCTCGGACCCTGTCTGCAGTGTGGGTCCCTGAGAACGGGAATCCCAGGGGCAGGAAAGCCTGCCGCCCGGGCTCCCGTTTCCAAGGTGTTTGTCAGGCTTCCGTGGCGGCCTGATTGAGACAGGGACTTCTCTGGTGCAGCGGAGAACTCCCCGCGGCCCCAGAACTAGGGCACAGACGGTGTCCTGTTTGCCCGGGGGACCGAAAGGACTCGCTGTCCTTGTCTCCGTCTCTGGCTCGGTGTGGACCAGGCGCAGGGAAATGTGCCTGCCGGCCGGGGTCCCGTCCACCCTGGGGCCAGCCCCCAAGCTCCGAAGGTCAGGGTTCTCCACACAGCCCGGGGGGGGGGGTCCCCCGAACCCTGCGTGTGCCCGCCCGGCTTGCTGCGGAGGCGGAGGGGGGGGGGGGGAGGGGCTTGGGAGACTTCATTGTGAGTGGGCGTTGCCCCTGAATTAGCTGGAGCTTCGGGGGACAGGTTTCTCTGTGACACGACGTGTTTCCCAGCTGCTGTGCCCTGTGGCCCCGGGGCCAGGCCGGCTTCCTCGGAGCTGTGGCCTCGCTCCGTTCCCCGAGCTCTGGGCCCGGTTTATTCGGTCCGGCACCTGAGCGGGTCACCATCCCTCTTGTCTCGGAAAAGAGAAGCCCAGGCGGGCTGGCGGGTGCAGGCTCCAGGATCTGGCAAGGACAGCTCAGCCCCGGCCACCGGCCGCCCGGCTCCGGTCAGGCCCTCCCGGCTGTAGGTTCGTTCACCGTATTGTTTACAGAAATGCCAGTCGGGTTCGCGTGGCAGGAATGTGATTCCGAATCCCACGGGGCTCCTGGTTGATGCTTTCACCGTTAGTTGTGAAAATTTAAAAACAGGCACAGAAGTGGCAGGAAAATTAATGTTGTGTGCCTGTCCCTCCGCCTTGGTAATTATCAGTGTATTTCGAATCTGTGTCACCCAGGCCTGACTTTTTTAAAATTTTTATTTATTTATTTATTTATTTTTACAGAGAGGAAGGGAAAGGAATAGAGAATTAGAAACATCGATGAGAGAGAAACATTGATCAGCTGCCTCCTGCACACCCCCTACTGGGAATGTGCCCACAACCAGGGTACATGCCCTTGACCAGAATTGAACCTGGGACACTTCAGTCCGCAGACTCTCTATCTACCCAGCCAAACCGGTTAGGGCCATATCCGTCTTTTTTATGAGCAATGAGTCTTCTAAAATTCAGTTGGTTCAACGCCAAGCAAGAATGTGGCTTGGCTCCCCCACCCCAACTTGCATTAGAGTGTGTGTGTGTGTGTGTGTGTGTGTGTGTGTAAGTTCTGATGAACTGGACAGATCTGACCAACAGTGGAAATGGTGGTGCGGATTGATCTTGAGGTTTTAGCTGGGATACGTTTTTAAAAGCAAAGTGGTCATGTGAGAAGAGTAAGCTACTGCCCAGAGGACTACAGTCCTGGGGGGACCTCGCTGGGCTGGGGGGTGCCCTGTGCTGCTAGGCCGGGGAAAGGCTCCCCCGCACCCCCTCACCCTGCACTCTCACCGGCGGGCAGAGGGGGCTGCGGGCCGCGGCCACTGTGTTTATGCGCCCCGTCTGGACCACACTGCAGGTTCGCAGGACCCTGAGCCTCCTGACCCAGCGTGCCCCCGGCTTCTGGCTGCTCGGTCTCTGCCCAGGCCCTGTGGACTGCGCAGTGGGGCCGTCCGCTCCGGGCCCGGGGAGGGGTGCGGTGAGGGTCCCCGGTGTGGGAGGAACCGGGGTGAGGGTCCTCAGGAGTGTGCACAAGGCCCTCACGGCATGGTGTGAAGCTGGACAGCGGAGATCTCGGTGGAGATGCTGGGGGGCGCTGGACGCTCCCTCACCGGCCGCACTCTGGACCCCGCCCTCCCGTTCCTCATGGGGCGTCTCCTCAAACTAAACTAGAACGTATTCTGTTTGAGAGTTTGTTCGCTTGATCTCAGACTTAAACATAGTTTGGCCTGTGGGGTACAGGGCTCCCCTGTGAGGCTGTCAGCAGGTGAGTGTGGGACTGGTGTCCGCTGCAGGCCTCCTGGACTGGGGCAGAGGTTCAGGGAGCGCGTGCTGGGCGCCCTGTTCGCTTGTCCTGGGGGCTGGGCGCGGGGCTCTGCCAAGTGGGTGGGCTCATGGTGCTTTGCACCTGAGGTGGGCCCTGCACAAAGGGCCCAGCTGGAAGGTGCTGCCTTTGGCCAGGTCCAGGGACGGGGTGGGGGTGCAGCAGGCAGTGCTGCTGGCATGGGAAGCTGGCGGGTTGCCATCTGCTTGTAGACAGCTTCCTGGTTCGTTAATGACTGGGGTGGGTGGAGCCACTCTGAGCGCAGTCATGGGGTGGGGGGTGGGGGGCCAGGGCAGCTCCTCCCGTGGCCCAGTTCGTGGCAGCAGCTCCAAAACACAAATTAGAGACTTGAATCTAAGGCGGTTTCCTGAGGATGTGGGACTCTCCCAGAGAGGACTCAGTGCTGTCATGGGAGCTGGCACCTGGTGCTGGTCTGGCCTCTGTGCCACTTCTGGTGCCTCCTTCCCCGAGGCTGGGCCTGCCCGAGCTGCCCCGCCCCCCTCCGGGGCTCCCGGAACCATGGCTGCCTGAGGCCAAGCCCGCGCTCCTCCTGTGCCTGGTCAGTGTGGCCCTGCGCTGCCGGTCAGGGCCTCCTGCTGCTGGACAGCGGGTGCTAAGACATGGAAGGGGCTTTCCCTGTCTTTACTGGTAAAGCAGCGGAGTCTCCCTGTGGGACTGGGGCGTGGGGTGGGGTGGGGAGGTGGGGGGTGCACACAGGACTGATGGTCCAGCCGCCTGCCCAGGTCCAGAGTTAAGGTGCGCATCTCGGTGGGACGCTGCCTTTCATCCTTTTAAAAAAATATATATTTTTATTAATTCAGAGAGGAAGGGAGAAAAGAGAGAGACAGAAACTTCAATGATGAGATAGAATCCGTGATCGGCTGCCTCCTGCACGCCCCACACTGGGGATCGAGCCTGCAACCCAGGCCTGTGCCCTGACCGGGAATCGAACCCTGACCTCCCGGTTCATAGGTCGATGCTCAGCCCCTGAGCCATGGCGGCTGAGCAGCCGCGGCCTTTCTGCTGTCGCTTGTGCTGACTTACTCCTGCTCGGTGCAGTGATCTCCGCTCAGAAGCAGACCGCCCCTCCTCAGGCTGGCCCACCCGGAGTGTCCCCCCAAGCCCTCCTCGCCTGTCTGTCCCCGCCGGATCCTGGCTCTGTGCTGGGGGGATCGGCTGAACCCCTCCAGGCCTCGGAATTCTAACGAGACAACAAATGAAGGAAACCCGTATTGCCTCTCTACTCTTGAGGTATCTTGTGTCTTAAAAAGAACAAAAACGTAAACATTAAACACAGGCAAATAAGAAACACCATGCTCCACACACCTAGTTAAAATTATAAGGATTAAGAAGTACAAATTGGCAGTTACAAAATACAAAAGGTTGTCAAATGCAGCTTAGGGGATGCAGCGAGTAAGATTGTAATAACTGTGTATGGTGTCAGACAGGTACTGATTTGATAGCTTCATAAGTTACATAAACATTGAATCCCTATGTTGTGCACCTGAAACTTTATAATGCACATCAACTGTAATTGAAAAATGAAAAATGATTAAAATAAAAGGTCTCAGAGACGCGCGCGCGCGCGCGCGCGCGCGCGCACACACACACACACACACACACACACACCTTCCCAGAAATTTGAATCTTAGGAGAAATGATCTGGCAATGTAAAATCCAAGATGGCTCAGCTCTGAGTCTGCACTTACCTTAGGAAACCAGTGCTATGCATTTTTAATTGGACACTTATGAATTAATTAAAATGCATGAGAATCTTTGTCCTTCATTCTGCTCCTCACCTATAATCAACAACAACTAAAAAAGTAAAAAGTCAAAACAATGTGAGTTTGAATTAGGGAGACAAAGTATGAATTTGTTAAGATAGCATACAGCAGTGGTCGACAAACTCATTAGACAGCAGAGCCAAACATCAACAGGACAACGATTGAAATTTCTTTGGAGATCCACATTTTTTAAACGTAAACAGACTCGCCCAGGCCGTGGTGTTTTGTGGAAGAGCCACACTCAAGGGGCCAAAGAGCCCCATGTGGCTTGCAAGCCGCGGTTTGCCGGCCACTGGCCTACACCGCGCCCACTGGTAGTTGTTCAGCTGGTTCTGATTCCTGGGCGTCGCTGTCCGCCAGCGTGGAATTCCATTCTGCAGCCCCATTGCTGGCCTTCCCGTGCTACCCATGAAGATGTGGGTGACCCTCCTTCTGCCCCCCACCCCCCGATGCATCTTCCATCTCTGGTCTGTTTTTCCTCCTGTCTTTATGGCTGGAGTATTCCTGTCAATTCTTCTCTGTTGCAGGAATCCACATGGTCTTAGAGTTGTTTTCTGAAAATATACAAACATATCTCGACCAAAATTAATAAAGGAATCTTTTCTATAAATTTTACTTGGGATACTTTTAATTTTTTGCCCAAACAATTTTTCTTTGACTTATTTTGGTACTATGTGTGTTTTTCATGGCTGTCTTACTGTTATCATTACAAATGATTTTGAAAAATTGGTTTTCAAAAGAAGAAAAATTTTTCTAGATGTAGTTTACTTACAGGACACATTTTTTTTTTTTTACATGGTATTTTCCACTATCCCCCTTTTTCTATTTAATTATTAGGAGGCTTTTGGAAAAATTTTATAATGCTGTTTTGATAACTTTTAACTTTTAATTTTTTGTACAAAAACTATGACTGCTTTAGGGTTTATTGTATGTTAAACAATTTTACCATGAAATGGACTACCAATAGAAATTTTGGTTAATACTTTAGGAACAGCCTGTTGTACAATTAAATTTTCTTGAATATTAACTCATTTCATTTAGCCAATTTAAATTAATTTGAAAACTTGACTATTTTACTGTCAAATTTAATACTTTAACAACATTTTTAGTTTACTCTGTAAATATTAATAGAAAAGATTATATGCATCCTTAAGAAAGCCCTGAGCACTCATAGATTTAGGCTGGATTTAGATGTAGGACAGTCGCCATCAGCCACTTTTCTGTTGCTTAGGTCTCAATAAGAGCCGTGCCAAGTCTCTTGTTTGTAGCTGGGTCTCAATCTGAGCTGGACCAAATCTGTTTGTTGCCTGGGTCCCAATCTGAGCTGGGTATGGGAAGCGTGAAGCAACCATGGGGCAGGAGACATCCCTCAAAAGGGCGAGTGTTCAAGCCTCTGCAGCGTTGGGGGGGTGAGGATCTGTGCCCCACCTCTGTTGGCCCCCAGGTCCTCTCCTGATGGCCCTCTGCGGCTGTGCCTGTCTTAGGTTGTCCCTCCCGTGAGGAATCTTACCCGTCATTGGCTAACCAGCCATCCTCCAGGGCCAAGCAGGGTGATGTGAGGTTCAGTTCTGTCTCCTTGTAGCCTATGCCCCTATGGCCTCCATGCCCAGTACCTGCCTTGGAATCCCCTCGCCTGCTGGCGGGGCTCCGGCATTGATCACAGATCTTAGGGAACCCAGGTTTCTTCTCCAGGGAGGATCCAGCTCACCCCATTGTGTGAGAGACGGATCCATGGTACCAGCCACCATGAGGTTTTAACCTCAGCATGAACTGAAAACTCAAGCAACAGCTGTGGGCAATTATTGTGACGAGAGGGTCCCTCTTTGCAAATAAGGCAAGAAAGGCCAATATAGAATGCTCAAGTGCCTTCCCAGTGAGGCTTTCCACACAGTGGAAGGGATTAAATTCTTTCATGTCCTTTTCCAGGATTAGGACATGGAGGTGAAGGGGGCCATAAAGGCCATTCCTTCAAGTTTTCTTCCTGCTCTTCTCTGGGAGGAGCAGAGGGAAGCTGGTGAGGAGCTTCCTCCTCAGCCTCTCTAAAAGGCTCTAATAATCTAGATACTGCATTCCCCATGGTAAAACAGTTTTTCTGAGGTGCCTTGTTTCCTGCTGCTAAGCCCCTTTTCTTCAAAAAAAAATTTTTTTTTACCACCTTTTGCTAAACACTCAAGATCTAATGTACCTTCTTCAGGAAACAAAGGGTTGTATTCTATATTTTTATAACCGAATTCTTCCCCATTAGCCTGGCTGAAAAGAGACGTTCCCACCCTGCTTACAGTTCGCGACGCTGCAGCTGGTCGTGGGCTTTGAGTGCGGTGAATTTCCCTCACCTTTTTTCTGGTGAATCTTCCCTCACCTTTTTCTGGTGAATTTTCCCTCACCTTTTTCTGGTGAATTTTCCCTCACCTTTTTCTGGTGAATTTTCCCTCACCTTTTTCTGGTGAATTTTCCCTCACCTTTTTTCTGGTGAATTTTCCACACCTTTTCTCGGTGTATTTTACCTCCTTCGCTCTAGGCGAAAAATACCTTCTCCTCCAGAAGTCCCGCGTTGAAGGCGCCAGATATTGGACTCTCTTTCATGGCCCACGTTGGGCGCCAGATATTGGACTCTCTTCCACACCCGCGTAGAAAGAGTTCCAATTCAGGGTTCAGCTTCTGGAGAAGGGCCGCACACAAATGAAGAGACTTAAAGAAATTTAATTTGGCGACTTGGGGGGCCAGGCGGTAGTCCAACTCTAGTGGGAGAACTACGACTGCTCTGGCCCTGCCATCCCCTTTTATTGAGGCTTAACAGCTGCTTCAACTTAACATAATCTCAACTAAAGGTTTAAAGCAATTGAGGTTGTTGACCAGCCTTCCTGGCTTCCTGTCAACATCTCTTTCCCAGCTGAATAAGATTTGGTTTCCAGCAGCCGCTTGCGTCTTTCTCCAGCCAGACTGTTCTGGGTGAGGACTGAGAATTTTATCTGGTCGTATAAATGGACTTTGATCAGAACTCTGTCATCTCTCTCTTTAAGGTTTGCTGCTTTTTGGCGGGGGAAGAGGTATCATTTTCATTAGGAAGTTAACCATATTGACACCCAGGGAGCCTGTGATGGGGTCAGAGGGCAAGGGCCAGGCCTCCGTGCCAGTTCGGGGGGGCCGAGGGGGGGGGTCCTTCAGCTGTGATGTGAGTGCGAACGAATTCCCCTTCCGTGCCCCCTCCCCGCCATTCCCGCTCCGAGACACTTTTCCCAATTCTCCCTGTGGGCTGCAGGCTGCCCAGAGAAGGACTGGCGAAGACTTTTATCTGACTGGCATGGAAGTAACAAATGTTTAATTCAACCACAGAGCTGGGCTTGTGCCCCTGCAGCACAGGAGCCAATGACACAGGGCCGCGTACAAGAGGTGGGGATTACAGGAAATTCCGTCGCCTGCAGAGGCTCCCCTTCCCCCATGGAGTGTTGGGCGGGGGGCCTGACTTCCAAAGCACCCCCCTCTAGGCTCAGTTTGCTGTTGGGAAAATCCTTAGTGCTTATTAGGATTTTGTCTTAGGAGAGAACACTCCCAGAAGGAAAAGCTGAGGAGCGACCTGTGAGGTGGGGGCTGTAGAGGACGGTGTGTGCCCTCAGTGCGCTCACCCCCTTTCTCCTGGGCCTCCAGGGGTCCCCCTGTGGCTCTTTCTCACCTCCTGAACGCTCTCAGGACTTTGGGTGCAGAGGGTAAGGTGTGTACATAGACAATTCGGGACATACCCTGAAGTAGCTGTGTGTGCAGTGATGCCACGCCTGGCATCTGTCTGTCAGTACTCCAGGACACACACACACACACAAACACACACACACACACA